AAAAACAAGCATTTTTCTAGTTTCATGACAATAACTTGTGTGTTAGTGTATGGATCTCTCTGACATTGTACCACAAGGTTCCATATCACAAAGGGAATGCTGGGATTGATTTTGGGGGTAATTGCCTCCAAATTTTAGGAATTATGGGCAAAAAACAAGCATTTTTCTAGTTTCATGACAATAACTTGTGTGTAAGAGTATGGATCTTTATGAAATTGTACTACAAGGTTCCATATCACAAAGGGAAAGCTGGAATTGAGTTTGGGGGTAATTGACCAAAAAGCTTAGGAAGAAGGGGCCAAAAAGGGACAAAAAATAAGCATTTTTCTAGTTTCCAGACAATAATTTGTGTTCAAGTGTATGGATCTCTCTGAAATAGTACTGCAAGGTACCATACCACAAAGGGAAGGCTGGGGTTGATTTTGGGGGTAATTCCCTCAAAATTTTAGGAATTAGGGGCCATAAACGGGCAAAAAACAAGCATTTTTTCTAGTTTCAGGACAATAACTTGTGTGTAAGTGTATGGATCTTTATGAAATTGTACTGCAAGGTTCCATATCACAAAGGGAAAGCTGGGTTTGAGTTTTGGGGTAATTGCCCTAAACGTTTAGGAATTTGGGGCCAAAAAGGGGCCAAAAAACAAGCTTTCTTCTAGTTTCCAGACAATAACTTGTGTTCAAGTGTATGGATCTCTCTGAAATTGTACTGCAAGGTACCATACCACAAAGGGAAGGCTGGGATTGAGTTTGGGGATGGTGAATCATAAGGGGGTTCAAAAAATTTTGGGAGGGATTTTTTTTTCCTTTTTTTTCTTTAGAATTTTCCATTTTAAATTGGTTATTTCTGATTTATATATGTTGTGTACAAGTTATCATTTTGTACAAATTATAGTTTGTACAAAAAAATTGTACAAATTATAATTTGTATTTTGACTTTGTACAAATTGTAATTTGTACAAAAAGTGCCTGTACAAATTACAATTTGTACAAAATTCGACTAAAATTCACTTATAACTTGTACAATAATTTATAGTATGGATTTTTTTTTTATAAAAAAGCATTTATACACACTTTATATTTTTTATTCAATGGCCACATAATCCTCATTTACAAAATACAAAAATACCCAGATGGAAACAGGAAATGTAATTGATACATGCATGCCTGTCAATTCTGATAGTACATTAGAAATTAGCCCCAGTGACAATTCTGATAGAATAATAAAAATTGGCCTCAGTGAAAATTCTGATAGTATAACAGAAATTGGCCCCAGTGACAATTCTGATGACACAGACGTTGAAACACCAATCATACGTGCCAGGAAGCGTGCACTGTCTGGCCAACAGATCCAAGCCGAATATCTAACAATGAAAACGAAACGGAAATGATCAGAACTTGCTGGTGGGGATAATGTCATTATACCAATTCCTTAGTATGATCGTGCCCCAACTGATCCTCGAAATATCTTATGTGTTATTATTGAATCTGGAGAATTTGGGTACCGCAATGGAACAGCTGACTGTAGGAATTTTAACATGATATTTGCTGAGAAATAAAAAAATGAAGTGCAATTCCCGATGCGATAATTTACTCACATGCTCAAACAAATAATACAGAACTATTCTTGTGTTTTGTAAATAAAGTTTAGTATGTGGTCATTGAATAAAAATTCCATAGTGTGTATCAATGTTATTTTTATAAAAAAATCCATACTGTAAATTATTGTACAAGTTATAAGTGAATTTTAGTCAAATTTTGTACAAATTGTAATTTGTACAAGCACTATTTGTACGCATTACAATTTGTACAAAGTCAAAATACAAATTATAATTTGTACAATTTTTTTGTACAAATTATAATTTGTACAAAATGATAACTTGTACACAACATATATAAAAGCAAATAATAATGATATGGTTTGAATAGGTAAATTAAAATTTTTTAAGTTCTTAGACCACTTTCATTCTGTGTCAGAAACCTATGCTGTGTCAAATATTTAATTACAATCCAAATTCAGTGCTGTATCAAGCTTGAATGTTGTGTCCATACTTGCCCCAACTGTTCAGGGTTCGACCTCTGCGGTCGTATCAAGCTGCGCCCCAGCGAAGCATTTTATTTTAAAATGACTTCCCTATTTCCCAAGATCCTTATAATTCACTTTTGGAGAGGATAAAATAAATTTTCACTCTGAACTCTGTAAAATTTGACGGACCTGAATTACCAGAATGTTTGATTTATATACAAATGTAATCTGGAAATTTGGGTCCATCAAATTTTACCGAGTTGGGTGCGATAATTTATTTTATACAAATACATCGTATGTGAGGTTTCCTATGCCTTATCTAGATATATCTTTTCACTTTCTTGCCTTTTACAAGGGTTCAATGTATACTGCCCTACAGGCCCAGCGAAATTTCACAAACTTTGGCTTTACTGAGTATGTTCAACCCATGGAAAATGGGACCACCTGGTAGCCCAAATAGTACAGATCTAGAAGTATCATCCGTTTAAATATGAGAACTACATTATTCATGGTATAAGTGGTATTAATTATTGTTTTGTCTATTACATAATTTGATTACTACGATACAGTATACCTAGCTAGGTAGCTTGCACTTTGGTGGTCATTAGAAGTATTCTTTTGTAGTTAAAAAAAGTCATTCCTGTATGTTGAAAGTGCCAGATGGCAACTTGATATAGTTTTGACGTTATACATACTATAAGTCTCTTTTAGGGTTGGCAAAAACATGGGTTTTATGAGGATTGCCCAGCCCAGTGGGAAATACTGGGAAAACACAGGTTTTACTGGGTTTTATTAGATAATACTCAGCAATACTGAATAAAATGAAATACTGGCCTGAATCTATAAGAGTATTCAGTGATCAATTACAAATGCAATGTATAAAAGTTATAAGACATACTGTTTTAATTTATAAGTTCACTTGTTTGAGACTATTATTATATAGTGTATACATTTGAGAAAGTATCTGTCCATTAACTCTAAGACATACATGAACATACATAGACAAATGTGAAAAGATTTCTCAATTAAGATTTAAAGCTATATATACTCCTAAAACATTTCAAATTGCCATTCTGTCTAAATTGGACAAACTGTTAACATGAATCCAAATAGTTCAATTTGTTTTTTTTAATGATATATATAACATATATTTAGAGTAAATAATTAATTATACATGTTATATGTAAGAAAATTAAATGACTATTCAACATTTTTGTTCGTGGCTACACAATTTTAGCAAATTTATCAAAAATGTACATGCACATCATTTATTAAGAACATGAAGAAGTATTTATTCTAATTATAACACAGATATTTAGCAATTGGATTGTATATACATGTACATTCAGTGTTTCCGCCTGCCCAAAATAGAAGGGTGGCCCGCCCTTGGTGCCCTTACCTCCGCCCTTCTGCCCTCCAAAGCAAAAATATGCCCCCCTCACAGCCTTTTGAAAATAAACTTTTCAAATTACATGCACATCAGTGTTTTCTGGGAAAAATTGTTACCTGATTGTGTAAAACACTAATTAACTGACAATGGCATCAAGTTAAATACCAAGGCTAGCCTTTGACAATTTTATCACCTCTGTTAATGATTGTTTACTGCTTATTAGGTGATTATAGATAATTGAACAAATACTAGTGAGCTAGCGTTACCCATTTGTAATGTTTATGTAAAGCATATACACCCGAAAAACTTTATTTAAGTAGGCATTAAATAAAAATAAAATGTTAAATAATTTTAAAGGCATACATTATACATAGTTTTGACTATATTTGGGGAAAAAAATGTATTAGTTTAATAACCCTGAGTGTGAAATTTACCGAAATTCGTATTTTGAACATAAACAAGATTGCACCACTTCCGGTTTAACTTCTTGGATTTATAATCCTCCTTACATAGGAGCACTTAACAAATGCTTTTATTCTTAATAATTATGGAGAGAAAAAAAGTAACTGTTTTAAACCTTCTGCAATGAATGAATTAATATGATATATTATCCTCTCCTGTATCACCATATATAAATCTCCTTACTTAGGAGCATTTTTGTGTGCACTTAAAAAATACTTTTTTGTAACAATTTAAATGAGAATAAGTAACTTTCAATAACATACACTTCATGTTTAAACAAGTAATTTAAATGTACATAATTGTATTGCATTAACAATTAAAATTTGCATGTATACCTCCATCTTTCAAAACTACTTGTTTAATTTTATAGACTATCAATAATAAAACATTGAAAATTCTGATGATTATTTTCTTTACCAAATGTACAAATTTGTTTAGATTAAAAGCATATGCCTTACTTCATGGTATGATAATATGATAAAAAATTCTTACTGGAACTATCAAGAACACAAGAATTTCTAAAAATGCTTAAAATACAACTATTGTCCTCCAGTTGAGCCTTGCAATATTCAAGGTCATTTACACTGTCCAACAGTGCCCTTATAATCTGGTTGATTGCAATTTGCCCTAAAGTGCCCTTTCAGACAACTAGCACCCTTCTTCCCTGAGATTCAAGCTGGAACACTGACATTGTAGCAATTAAACTTTACAATTCACTAATGACCTTCACTAAATTGCATTTACAAATTTTGGATAAATTAAAAAAAAACTTGGGAAATAAACAAGGTACATTTATCCAAAAATGTGAAACACTTATTCCTATTCTGCCTATATAGAATTATTGAAGAATAGGAAGAAATGATTTTTTGTCCTGAAAAAGACTATCAATCATGTCAATGTTTATCTGTATATAATGTGTATATTTTGCAATAATACTATGAAACTGCAATGTGTCATTACTATTCTGTGTAAAAATAACCTTAAAAATCATATTACCCAGTTTTGCCCAGTATTACCCATTTCTGGGAAAATTGACAACCCTGGTCTCTTTACACTGAAAGGCTAATTGCAATCATTTTTGATTGTATAATATATTAAATTAGTAATATTATTTTTTCATTTTCAGTATTTGACTACCTGAAATCATCATGTCAAATAAACCTAAACAAAGCCCAAACACACTGGGTTACACTAACACCACTTATAGAGAAAAGATGACACAGATGAGTGAACAGGAAAAGATCATTGAAGAAAAGAAGAGAAAAATTCTTGAAAAAATGAAGGCAGATGAAATAGCTGCAGTGACAAAAAATTCAACAGCAGCACCTACTTCTACACCTCCAGTGTAAGTTATGTTAAAAAATGTTTGCTGTTTAAATTATTTTCAATTTTCTTCTGTCCATCCAAGATGAACATATTATGTTATACTGTTGTCAACTGTCCATCCATCCACAAATCTCCTGATAATTTATTTAACTTGTGCTTTTTGTTTATTGAATCCTTACCAAATTTTCACACAGTGTTAGGTTATGAATGCTCTGTGAAGACTTTCTACCTTTTTAATATTTATCTTTTCTTTTTTTAAGAGTTCAGGGACTTTAGATAATGAAAAAATAGACCATTATTCATATCGTGCATATGTTTGATTATAACTCAATTTTGCTTTCACAAAATCACGTAAAATGTTTTTACTATGTCACATCTTATGAAAGTAAGCTCCCGTTTGATTTTGACCATTTTAGGTTGCAATTCTGTAAATACAGACAATGCAATTTCCCATAGGAACTCCCTTTGCGGCTAAAACTGTGACACTTTTACTATGAAGTTTTGTGAAAAATAATATCCCAGAACGGAAAGTTTATATGCACTACTATTTTATTCAAAGGTCAAAATATAGGGCTGTGCGGCATATTTTCAACATTTATATGCCCTGAACTTCTAAGAGTTTAAACTTATACTAAAATTCTATACTACCCTTACCTCCATTTTTGGACCTCCTAAGAATTAAAATTTAGCCGCTACCATGTTTATCTATACTGGTTACATTCCCAAGTGATGTCTCTATGAGATGAAACACAGAGATCATCAATGGGAACCAGTACGTTAACAAATTAACATACCTATGAATATTAAATATCTCCCCAAAAGAGGCGTGGTTTGAGAAACAGCTGTATTTACAAAGTGCAACCTATACAAACATTTATTCAAATAGAAAACTCTCTAAAAACACTTTTTCTCACAACAATACTTATTTATCAGAATTATAGCCTTAAAGAAATCACTGCATTTACTCTAAGTCTCCTTTTACAGTACATTTTATACCCCTACCCCTGTTTCAATTTTTTAAAGATTTTGAAAACAAGACTCTAATTATTGCCAGCTTACCCTATGTGCATGTTTTCTGACATGAACTGTCTAAAACCTGTTTGAAACTATTCTGATAACAAATTGAAAGCATTTTAGAATACTATAAATGTATTGTTTAGTAGTTAAGCATTCCAACATTCAAGATTATACAAAGTATCCAATCCTGCCTGTGTCTCCAGTCCACATCTTACTGTATGCCTATTTGTCAATGAAAGTTCACAATTTCTGCCTCAAATGGTCAGTTTAGAATTCTTGTCACAACAGTATCATCCCTAACCATATATCTAACATAAGTTAGTTAATATATGTCCTAGAAGTGTTTAAACAAAGGCATATTTGCAAAAGTTGTATTTATGAAGATATCAGTCTGGTGCATAAATTTACTAAAAGTTTGATTGAAATGACTGCTTACATCTGATTTTTGCATAACTTCCTAGCACAGTTATTGTTTACTTTATAAAAGACCTTTGAAATAAAAAAATCATAGCATTTACAAGTTAAATTATCTGTTTTATGACTCAGGGGTAGGCATTTTCCTCTGTTTTTTGCCCCTGGGGCCTCACATTTCCTAATTTTTTTCCCTGTTTCTAGCAATGTGAAATATTTACTACATATTTAGGATAGAACACACTATTGTAAGTTTTACTGAGGTCTTTTTGTAATTCTAGCTTGTACTTTTTTATGCCGCAGTCACAAAAAAGCACATTTAGGCGTTACGGCTTACTTTTGGGTTATCGACAGGACAAAAACACCCCACCAGAAATATTTAGGAAGGATCAATGAGTTGCAATTACTGCGAAGAGTAAATCTAAGCACTTCTAAACAATTTAAATTACAAATAGGCATATATTATGAATTTATTTTGAATTCAGGGCTTTAAGTAAACCATGCATACTGTAAACTGTGAATTTATGCTGAGTCATCATAGTTAAGGCCCAGGATTTTCTCAATCTTCATGAAATATTTATAAAACTTCATATTTGAGTTAAATTCTTTAAAATCTCTGAGATAAACCAGATTTTGTGAAATTCTGTATGTTCTATTTTTTAACCCTATATAGGTTGCAATTCTGTAAATACAGACAATGCAATTTCCCATAGGAACTCCCTTTGCGGCTAAAACTGTGACACTTTTATTATGAAGTTTCTTGAAAAATAATATCCCAGAACGGAAAGTTTATATGCACTACTATTTTATTCAAAGGTCAAAATATAGGGCTGTGCGGCATATTTTCAACATTTATATGCCCTGAACTTCTAAGAGTTTAAACTTATACTAAAATTCTATACTACCCTTACCTCCATTTTTGGACCTCCTAAGAATTAAAATTTAGCCGCTACCATGTTTATCTATACTGGTTACATTCCCAAGTGATGTCTCTATGAGATGAAACACAGAGATCATCAATGGGAACCAGTACGTTAACAAATTAACATACCTATGAATATTAAATATCTCCCCAAAAGAGGCGTGGTTTGAGAAACAGCTGTATTTACAAAGTGCAACCTTTAGATTAGTCTTATGAAACATTTTTTTAAAGGGATATATAGGACTTTAATCACCAAATAATAGGCAATTATTCATCACTCACAAAAACTTAAGTATGGCGTCAAGAATCCATACAAAGTTTGTACACACTTATTTGTTCATTGAATACTATTCTTATTAATATGTGGACAAGTGCATCATGTGTGTTATTAATATTTTGATGATATGATTTACATAAGAAGTGGTAGAAATGTAATCTTGGGGGAAAAGTCAGAGTACATGTCCTGTTATTTACAAATTAATAAAAATTATCACCTAACATTTGGTGCATATACAGTATCATTCTTAATCAATTAATGGAAGACGTCTTCTACATATCTACTATTGTGAGCATGTGTTTCTGGGTTGCAGCATTATTTTTACACCAAGAACACTTTTATGAAATATTGGCACCCGGCACTTACCTGTATCCAAAAAAATGATCATGCATGTCTTTCTTAATATTTAAACCATGTACATTTTCCAGTGTGAATACATGTAATTTAATATGAACTAGGCCTAGAACAATCAGATTTTAGTCACAAGCCAGTCAGAACAAAATCAGAAAGTGTACTGACATGCAAAATTTGAAATACTGTGGATTCATTTATTTTCGTGGATTGAAAAAAAAGTATGTATTTTTGTGGATATTGATTTCATGGTTTTGCCAAATATGTCTTAGTCTGTACACAACCCTTCAGTAAATGTATACTTTGATGAACATTTAAATTCTTGGTTTACCTTTACCCACGAAATCCACGAAATTATCCCACGTATAATAATGAATCCACAGTGTGGTTGCCATTGACAATCATTTTATTTAATTAGTTTGTTTATGCTTATGTTTATGATTTAAAAAGTATTAATTTTTTAGTACTGGAAAGAGGCCTGGGTTTCCAGCTAAGAAGTCAAAGTTTGGAACTCACCTCCCAGAAGTAAAGAAGGAACCTCAAAAGACTGCTGCTACTCCATTTTTTGTGAATGATGGAAACTTTATGGAAAGATTTAGACAAATGCAAGGGCTTGCATCAGGCATGTACTTACATGTTTAATCAACTTTATTTCTATTTCTAGACAATATTTGAATAGGCCCCTTTATGGTTAGTGTAGCCATGTTGAATAGGGGGCAGATTTTCAAAATGGAGGTAAAAATGCAGTTTTCTCCTCAGAAATTTCTTGTATCATCTTGGTAAACAGGGAATTATGTTATACTTCTTGTTTCCAGAAATTATAGCATCACATCCATAACACTATCTTTAAGAAACTCATTTCAGATAACATCACATTCTAGCAATATAGCATCACATAACCATGATGCTAAAAGGCCCTGGGGAGAACACTGAAAATGGTTTGAAAAATACGAGAAAACATCATTTAAACAGCACATTTGCTTGGAAACATGCATAGGATTTCCCATACTTTCATGACTTTCAAGCTATTTCCACCTCCATCCAAAAAATCTGCCCCTTATTCATTATGGCCAAAATAACCATGAAGTGGCCTATTTTAAAAAGAGATATCAATGAGAAAGCAACCCAAAAAACAGTAAAACCTGAATATGTTGATTAACTTGATAAAGGTTTAAACCAGAATATGCTGATTAACATGATAAAGGTTTAGATTTATGAAGTAAATAAAAAGGGCAAAGCAGATATTGTAAACAACAGTTAGAAAACACATAAATGTATAGAGATGTTTGTATGTCAGATAAATGTATAGAGATGTTTGTATGTTAGATAAATGTATAGAAAAACAGTAGAAGTTATTAAACCAGAAGTTACAGAAACCATGAAAAAATAACAATTGAAGGAAAAAGTATATATACATTTCGGGAAATCTAGTAACTATTAGTGCAAACAAGAAATTATTTGAAGTCTTTACATGCTATATTATAAGATTTATGTACTTTCATAGATTAAGTCAGAATGGTAAATATTTTGTGCTCTGCATACTGCACCCTAGCTACATGTAAAGCTACATGTTGTCCTTCAGAAAGATTAACCAAAAATTACTATTTATGGTCTGTTGTGATTATTAGATGCAAATTACAATGAATTATGTCTTTAATACATAGACAAATGTCAGATCTATTTTATTTGAAGATTAAAAATGCTACATGAAATATGCCTCAATGGAAAGGATTTTTTATTTTGTTCATCATATTCTGCAACTTTCCTCCTTATTTTCATAATTTTAGTACAGATTAACACAAGAACATTTTTGTGATTTATTTTTTCATGATTAATACAATTGATGCACAACTTAAATTTCTGCATTCTTGTTTTGTTAGCAAGTAGAATAACAGCTGCAACTGTAAAAGAGGAAAAGAAAGACAATGTAGAAAACCAAAAAGACAAAGACTCAGAACCAAAAAATCAGCTACAAGTTAATCCTTTAACAGCAAATCAACAGACAGCATTTGGTGAAAACTATCCACCACAGAACCCCCCTCCTAGACCACAAGTACCACTGGAACAACCACGTCAACTGAGACCTTTCCCACATGGAAGGCCTCCACCTCCTGCAAGACCACCTCCAGGACAGGCACCAAATCAACCACCACTCTTAATGACACACAATGTTGGTCCTCCAGGTCAAAGACCCAGGATGCCAATGCCACCAAGACCCTTAATGCAACAAAACTTAGAGCCACCTGTCAGTAGCCCAAATATTTCAGAGCCTCAACAACCAATACTACAGCAGCTACATCCTCTTAGACCTTTTCTACAACAGCCACCTAGCTCACAGCCAATGCCACTGATGGCACAACAAATATTGCCCCCTGGTCATAGACTACCTCCTCCACAACCACTAGGTCAGATGCCACATCAACCTCCTGGTACTGCCTCATTGCAATTACAGTCTCCTGATCAGATGCCACCTCAGCCTCATGGACAAATGCCACCACATTCTTTGATGCCACAAGGAATGCCACAAAGGCCACCTCCAAATATTCAACAGGGACCACCAAGACCACATATGTCTGTAATACCTGGTGGGCCACCACATCAAGGAGCATTGCCACCAAGACCACCTCCTCCATCCATGTTTCAAGGTCAGCAACATCCACAATTCCCCCCAGGAACTGAGTCTTTTCAACCAGGGCCACATCATCCTGGACTTCCTCGCCCAATGTTCTCTGCAGCTCCTCCACAACCAGGACAACCTCCAGTTATCAATTTTCAAAGTGCACCACCGCGTCCTCCACCACAACATCACGAGGACCCAGAGGAGTATGACCCATCAGAACCTACATCTCCTACATTGGAAAAACATAAAGGAAAACATCATGGATCTCATATTAACAATGGCAGTCAGGAAAAATTTGAATATGATGAATATGGAAATCTAATTGATAATGGTTCAGAACAATTATTTGATGATTATGGAAATCCCATAGACCAGAAATCAGGGATATTATTTGATGATTATGGGAATCCTATCAAAGTTAAAAGGGAATCTGTAGACGAATATGACCCATCAGTTCCAACAGAAGCAGACTCACCAGGTAGGGAAACATGCATATAAATTATTGAGATATCAGTGGTTTAATCATTATCAAGCAAAATGATTGAGTGAACCCACTTTTTTTCAAGGGGTATTGCCTACAGATGAAAGTGTAATATATTGAATGTAAAATTTTTCAGATTTATTATGGTAAATTAACTTATTTTTTTATATTTATTACTGTGATTGTTGATTCATACTGTCTAATTCAGTGACTAACAAATGTTACAATAGCTGTAAGTAAATTGAACTGAACAGATGCAAGATAATTAGTAAACACTTGTATGATTTAAGGTCTTAAAGTATTTTGATTTCTTGATTATGAAGGCTTTTGGATGCAATTATAAAAAAATATTGTCTGGTGTTGCAAGATTGTATGATTTACATTTTACATTTATTCTTCCATACACATATGTTTAATTTTTAAAAGATAGACTACTATTATAATAAGTTAATCATTTACATTATAACATTTATTTTACAGATAAAACATTATCTTTTCAAATGAAGAAAGAAAACACCAGGTATTAAGTTTGTTATATTGTAAAATTGTTGGTATATTAGAATATTAATATTGTAATTGACCTATATTATATACATTTCGATGCGGCAGTAACACTTTCAAAATTTAGCCAACAGTTTTCAGATTTGATATTTTTATGAAAGCTATTAAACTGAATTTTCACATAACTCTGATATTCAAAGTTTACATTTAGATATATACGTATGATTGAAAAATGTCAAACAACGGAAATCAATTTTAATTAAATTTTTTTAATGTATAGAATTTAACATTGTTTCAAAATGTGCTACACTTTCAAGCTGAAGCACTGGGTGCCATATCCACTTTCAATGATATTTATTCATTATAATTTTAAAGTCAATCTAAGAAACCATTGATAAAAGAAGAAGGTACAGGAGATGTTGGTAAATCATCCAGGAACCTGACCAATGTATTTGATACAGTAGAAGACAGAGGTGACACAGAGGACAAAAAGGAAACAGTAGGTATGTGTCATTATCATCCAGGTCAAATGTATCTTACTTAAAACACCTATTATTACACCAGTGTACACAGGACAAGGCCGGGAAAATGTAGGATTGCTTATTTATGACACAGCTAAAAAAAGCTAAAAGCTTCAAGAATTTAGTTGAAAACGCACCATACATATACAATAGGTTTATTATATACATGTATATATAAAAAATATAAAAATAAAGAGATATGGTATAATTGCCAATGAGAGAACTGTCCTCCAAAGTCCAAAAGCATCTATAGGTCATTGTACAGCCTTCAACAATGAGCAAAACCCATAATATATAGTCAGCAAAAAAAAGACCCAAAATTTCAAAATGTGAAACAATTCAAAAGATAAAACCTAATTCAAAGTCTAATTCATGACAAAACATTTACAGAAGAACATATATGACGGACAGAAACCAACAATAAACACAGAAAAAAAATTAGGTGGAAATGGCTTAACTAAACAGTACAAAAAACAACTAAAATAAAACGAAACTTGCATAACAGTTTGATTATTTCTGTGCAAAAAATACATAAAACATTACTATGCATCTTAATAAGAAATAAACTTCTATTAAAGGATTTTATATCAAAATTATATTGTGCAACATTACAACTAAACTTTGATACCATGGCAATAAGTGCTTGCTCTAAGTGTAGAAACTTGAGAACAAAAATAAAAAATTATGCTAGTTTTGCTGTTTGAATGCTAGTTCGACCCAGAGAACAAACGATTCTGATAGGCTGCTTCTAGTTTTTCCACCACAGGATCCTGTTACCACAGCAACCATTGATAAGTTTGCAGCTGATGTAGCAAAGGGAGGCCCAGAGGTGGAAGTGAAGGTTTTCTGCTCCAGTCGAAAGAATCCAGATTTTTGGTATGTTGCATTAAATAAATCTATGTTGCAAGATATTACAAAATTGAAAAATAAAAACATCTTAATAAACCATTACTACTATTACTATTGAAAAGAATTGTCATGAACTTCAGTTTCAAAGAAATACAGGTCCATATCAAGTTCATCTTGCTGATTTTAAAAAAACTAATGCAAGATAAAATTGATATCAAATAACAATGTCTTTGCTAGTTCATCCCATTGATCTTGCTTTCCATAAAAGCCAACATAGCTTAAGACACAGGGCTTCCAGATATTTGAGCCAGGCGGACATTTTTTGTCTTATCCCTATTCTAATCCCTTAAGACTTTGTAACAAAAGGCAGCCATGGTAATCAGTTGAGCATCATGTAAACAATGATTGACACAAAAACGATATTAAAATTGACTTTTGATATAAATTCATTGTTCTGACGTAAGCTGTTAAATTGAAAGTGCATCATTCGAAGTGTGCAGCATCAGCTTACTAATATCTGCCTTAGACTATTTGTGCAAAATTACGTTGTCAACAACTTCACTTTGTTTTTTAAAAACATTTTCCTTATACCGGATGTTGACTTGACAATGGTAAAACACGGACCAGAGACGGATATGTAAAATTTGTGTACGTTTACAAAGCACGATTGAGTTTAAGAAATACTTGAAATGAACATTAGATAGAGGTGTCAATGATAATTTTAACATTTTTGAACAATTTGGATGCATAATTGAATCTCACACCTATGCACATGTATCAGTTCAAACAACGTGGTACTGACAATTTTTCGCTTTAAACCTTTATTACTACCTTTTTAAATTTTTCTTCAAGTCATATTTTAATATACATATTTCTGATAATCTAAATCTTTTTGACTTAATCATTTAGATGCAAACCGCTGAAATTTAAGAAAATGACTTTATATAGACCGATCAATGTTTACCTGTCGCCTGAACAGATAAATTTCAGCTGTCAGACAACTAATTAACCTTGTTTGTAATAAGTGGGTATTAAAGTAGGGTTTGTTTTGGTAGTAATTACTCATCATGTCACTTTTATGACCGGAAATGTGTGGCTGTGTAAGGCAAAAGGTCAGGTCAAAAAGATCACATAAGCTTTAATCTTTTTTTCTGAATTATGTTAAAATGGCAAATCAATGTTATATGTCTGGTTCAGGCTTGGCACAACAAGTCAAAAATATGATTTACCGGTCAAGTCCGGACAATATAACTGTTTTGGAAGTCCTGCTTGGATGTTTTGCTCCTAATTTCACAGCTTAAAAAGTAACATAAATAAATTTGTGTTTTGTTCAGAATCCAACATTCATTAGCAATTTGTTTTCTAGAAAAAAAGTTTCAATCATATAGCTTTATCAGTTCTTGCATACAGACATGTCTAGGGAAATTTTGATTAACTTTCTGTTATTAAAGATAGCAGATTAGATAAGATCATTTGTGAGTTCAGAGTTAAGTCATTACATATAATGAGAATATAACTAGAAGTATGAATATAAGGGAAAATAGAATGTTGTGTTATTTATCATCTGATGTTGATTTGTAGGTTTTTGTATGAACAGAAAAGTGATGCATATAAATATTACAGATATAAAGTAATGGTGTTATCTGGAAAGTCATTTGGTGAGAATTACAATAAGATTCTGGGATTTTTAGTTTACTTTTCTGCAGAGAAAATGTTGCCTAATTCTAGAGGGGGTCTGTAGTAGATAAAAAACATTCTCTGATATATTGATACTGAGCTCATAAAAGTAAGGGTCTGTCTTGAGAGGTCTTATATGGCTGATACAACCAAGAAACAACAATATCACTGCCAGTCTTTTGAAAATAGTATATATAAAGAAATTGGTTCTTGCAGGGTTTTGAAAATAGATCCTGCAATCAATTGCAACATAATTTAGTTTTGTTTTAATGGATTACACAATTAAATCTAGACAATGTTCAAACGGCAGCACCTGTGCCTTGAATGTGATACCCTGCGCCTTTTTCATTGTTATCTTGGCTCCCTGTCCTTTTATTGAACAACCCTTCTTCCCCTTTTACAAATTTTTTTTTTCTAGTTTTGACCACTGAATAATTTCCAATTTGTCAGCAAATTTATAGGGGAGCCTAAATTAGCTTCACTTGACAGCTTGGTGTGTCAAAAATACCATAAACTAACTTCTGTTACCTCAGCCTAAGATAATATATTTGTATTTTACACTGCCAAAATGTAACTAAACAGAATTAATATTAAGGAAAGGAAAACGTCAATGTGACTGAATAATTGTCTTCACTGTGGTTTAATCTGATAAACAAAATTTCAATTCTATAGTTTTCTTTAGAAAAGTCATGCTACATATGTGTAATTCCTATTTGCCAAAAACATCATATTATCTGCAAAATTTCATAAACATATATGAAATTTGTCACATTTTTCTCAGCAAATACATGTCATAGCCTCTAGATATGTGGTATAGTTCATACGTTGACTTTATACTTTACTTGACATACTCACTGCAATTTATGGAATATAGACAAAGTTGAAAAAATATGTGATGTTTTATTACCAGTAGGTGGGATGGGGGTGGTGGTTTTATTTCTATATAAAAATAAAGAGATTTGGTATGATTACCGCTGAGACAACTATCAACCCGAGCTCTGTCTGTCCATCCAACAGTTCGTCCCATGAAATTAACTGCACATTTATCTCAGAAACTACAAATCAGAGCTGTTGGTATCAAGCTTCATGGCTCACAGCAAATCTTGTTTTGTTGTTGTATCCTGTTTTGGCTATTTAATATGGTACAGATGCCTTAATAACCTGATAAATTGAAAATTATTTGTGTGATTTTCAGAAGACAACAAAGAAGAAAATGTAAAACAGGAAAGTAAAGGAAAGAAGAGGAAAAGTAGATGGGGAGCAGAAGATGATATTGTTCCTCCTATTCTATCACACAGTAGGTTGTGGTATTAATGCATGACAAAGATTTCATCAAATTTTCAGTAATTATAATGAATACCATTTTATACACATAATTATATAAGGTATTCATGGTGATATCAAGAGAGGTCAAAACTGAGACTTTTTTATTAGTTTTCTTGTAAATCAAGATCCATGCCAAACATGATATTGTTATCAGTCTTAGTTGGTTCTTTATCATAAATTGAGATGCATACTCTAATATATAATATACAATGTTCTTCCCAGGTGGTTTAAGCTGTAAAATAATTCCAGTTCTGTTAATGCATTTGTATATGAAAACAGTTCTTTTTAAGTTTACTTTGATAAAACCAACATGACAGTACAAATATTACATCTTAGGAGAACTCTTTTAAATAGATGGAAACCTGAAACCTATTCTTCACACCTTAAATTTCATACTTTTCTCATGTATATGAATGACATCACTGTTTGATATAACATCATTATTTAGCATTGGTCTAAATATAGAAAGTAAACCATCAATTGGGATACTGTGTAGTTCATTCTGTTTAAGACCTCAACCTCTCTCTCTCACACACATATATATATATATATGAGTCAAGAAAACAATGGATAGGATTGCCAATGAATAACAATGCTACACTATCAGAAATAAATATTTTGGAAAACAAATGGTCTTTGTCAGTGTCCTGTCATTTGTTGTGATGAAATACTTAGAAATCAGTTTAACCAAATAGTGTCAAATACTCATATTTAGAACAAGAACATGTTGTATTTCAAAACAAAAGGTATTTATTTTAAGAAGCGAGTTGCAATTCAAAACAAAAGGTATTTATTTTAAGAAGCGAGTTGCAATTCAAAACAAAAGGTATTTATTTTAAGAAGCGAGTTGCAATTCAAAACAAAAGGTATTTATTTTAAGAAGCGAGTTGCAATTCAAAACAAAAGGTTTTCATTTTAAAGAGGCTTTAATATCAAATAAATTATGAGATCATATTTATTCAAAGAAAAATATCAGATTATCTTTATAACTAGTGTTGAATAACTAAAAGGATTTCTTTTACAGTACCTACACAGCATGCACCAACAGTGACTTTAGAAGACTTTGCTCGTCGTATGGTTGGTAGTTCTGAAATGACAGAAGAACAGCTGAAACAAATTAGAGAGCAACAGGAGGTATTGTTCTTGTTAAGATAAGAGTAATAAGATATAAAAATAAGGAGATGTGGTATGATTTTTCCAATGAGACAGCTACTAGTATTCATCAGATACATAAGTAAGAGGATGTAAGGAACTTTAGGGCCCTGTATAGAATTCAACAATGAGCAAAAGTAAAATTTAAAAGGTCAGGCATGACAGAGTGGAACAACTCAAAAGAGAAAATCAACAGCCTGATTGATGCTAAAAACAACAAACCAACAATAATGAGACAGACAGCAACCAACCCCAAATATTGAATTACAGGCTCCCGACTTTGGACAGACACAAATAGAATGTGTCAGGGTGAAATATGTTTGAGAGCTCAACCCCTTGTCCTAACCTGCCTTGTAACAGCACAATCTTATGACTGGTGAGAGCAAAGTCACAAATGTTAGTGAATTTCATTTTTGTAGAAATTAAATGGCAATTTTTGTCTCACCTCGATGAAGTAGGAAAAGGCTTAGATGGCTGTTTCTGGTGTCAGCTGCGGAGTCAACAATGTATAAGCTTGTGATTAGGTCAGTTTATGAGGAAACCACTACTAGTGGTAGGTCAGTGATATTTGGTATGCAGTTTTATTAGCATTTGCACATCTCATTTCCGTCGAGATTTTTTTACCCCACCCCTTATCAGTCATGGTTTAATGACTTTGAAACTTTTGCTTAATTTACATGTATTTTTTTAATTTGTGATTAGGTCAATCTAAGGGAGCCACTAATGATAGGTCAGTGATATTTAGTATGCAGATGTAAAAGCATTGGCACATCTCATTTCCTTGGAGATTGTTAGTCTTGGGCCCCTCCCCCCCAGTCATAGTCTATTGACTTTGAAACATTGGCTTAGTTTACTTATTAAAGTTTGTGATTACATCAGTTTAAGATTAACCACTTATGTTAAGATAGATTAACTGTATACCGCCATCTTGGATTGTAAAATAGTAGTTCTCAATAGGTCTAGTTCTTTGCTTATAATTAGTTTAAAGAGAACCACTTATAATTAGTCAATGGTATTTGGTATGCAGTTTTATAAGCATTGGCATTTCTGATTTCTGTGGAAGGTTTTGCCTTGCACTTTCAGTCATGGTGCATTGACTTTGAAGGTTTTGCATAATTAACATGTATAAAGATTGCCATTTAGAATTCAAAATTCAACATTTGCATTTTACTATAAAAATTACAAAATGGCGAGACATTTCTCCAAGTGTAAACAGTTTACTTTTTATGCAAGAAATCAAATGCTCATATTTTTGATATACTTCCATGCAAGACATTGTCTAATGAGGTAGTTCTTTAGTGTGTTTTTCTTTCTATTTTATGATAGATGAATATGATGTATCAGTTAATTATTGCTCAGAAGAAAGCTCAGGAGGCAGCCTTGGCTGATGCACAAGGATTGAAAGCTGCTCAGAAATATGAATATGATTCTGATGAAGACATAGAAGGTGGAACATGGGAACATAAACAGAGAACATCTGAAATGCTGGCTACTAGAGGTCAGTATTTTTTGTTTTTTGACAACACACAAATACTTCTTTCAGCAATTGATTGTCCTCAACCTACAACATGTACAATGTACATTCAAATCTTCATGTTCAGAACTTTTTCCATTTCAATGATTGCATTTTGTATTTGTTTATTTTTATATTGCAAAACACTGAGAGAAAGTAGACTAAAGTTTGCTCTTTAATAGAATAGTTAACATTATGTTTGCTCATAACTTTGTTGACATCTTTGACACAGTTTGTGTAACTTCAGATTTTGAATGCAGTATTTATGTATTTATCAGGGCTTATTTCAATTATTAGATTAAGCCAAACCTGTGACTTGGTACAATTGTTTCTTGATAAGTGTTCAGTGGACCTGTGATCAATCATGATATCGAGGAGCCACAGTAATCAATGTTCAAAAAATAGCTTTTAGTATAAGACTTTTTGCATCTGGTTGTTTAAAATAAATCATATGAGCTAATGCATCAAATTAGATTCATAAGCTCATCATAATACAGCTTAAACAAAATGTATAGGATTAAAAGTACATAAGCTGAAAATAGAATGATCCTGGCTACGTAGATTTGTTGAGGCATCATAAAAATTTATTATTATTTGCAAACACAGTGTATTTTTCTATGTCAAATATATTATTTTTCTCAATGTAGTTGTTAAAAGCATGATGCCAGACAATTTAATTTGAGTTTCAACCGTTGTCGACAGCATCATAAAATTGAGAATGGAAATGGGGAATGTGTCAAAGAGACAACAACCCGACCATAGAACAGACAACAGCAGAAGGTCACCAACAGGTCTTCAATGCAGCAACTGTTTTCATGACTGTTTTCTATTTAGTGTTTAAACAGAAAATAGAGATATACACATAGAATTGGTTAATTGATAGCTTCTTATATATCTACTTTCAGAATGGGCAGATAAGTTAACAGAATCTAACAAAGGAAAACATTTTATTGGTGATTTCTTGCCACCAGATGAACTAGAAAGGTTCATGGAAACTTACAAGGTATGATATAATACAGATTTATTAAGGTTGTTAATTTGATGAGGAAAACTGAAAAGCTATCTTTCTTCTTAAGTTTATATACTACTGCTGTAAATATAACAGCAAATCAGAGACTATGTTTGTTTGGAAGTACAGAATGATGGAAGGATGTTAATTGTTGAAAGGTAATGTTATCAAAATTTTAACTGATTATCTGTCGGAAGGACCGAATATCTAATACCAAAAACTTTAACTGCTTAATTGGACCTTACTTATTTCAATTTTAATAGATTTCATAAGCTGATCAAAGTTTACAATCGAGTTCATTATTTCACTTTAACTTAATATTGTGTGTAGGTAAATGTAAAAATGTCAATCATCAACATCCAAGTCTTGGTTATATTCCTAAACGAAATTCTGATCCAAACACTGTAAAATGCAATTTAGGGTATACTGGGTGTACTAGTAACATGCAGACATCAACAAGAGAAAATGATCTAGGAATTAATGTCATGTTAAACTCAATATATCGTATCAAATAAGCATGCATTAGTAAAGTTCTGCAAACATTGTCTTTGAACATCAACTTTAATACTGGTTAAGCTATTTATCTTTTCAAAAATTATCTGAATAACCGGTTAAGTGAAAATGTTCAAATTGTCAACAGAAGTGAAAAGGTTGTGTGGATGAAAAAAAAGGTCCCAATAATTGTTAAATTTCAGAATGGCAAAAAGAGCGACAATTATACCACCATATCCCCTGGCCACTGAAAGGTTGACAGGGATAAAAATACATATAATATTTGTTTTATTTAATTTCTCTAGATAATAACTCTTATTCTCATTTGAACCTAGAGCTGTGAAACAGTCATGTCCATTTGAGTCAATAATCTCTAAATATGTACTTTAATACAAATATTTAAGGCATTGAAAGACGGAAGAGAGCCAGATTTCTCTGACTACAAGGAATTTAAATTGACCTGTGAAAATGTAGGGTACAAGATGTTGGAGAAGTTAGGATGGAAAGAAGGAGAAGGATTAGGACAAGAAAGTCAAGGCATTGTTGATCCTGTTAATAAGTAAGTATTTTCTGTAGCTCTTTACAGTATAAATCAATGAGACAGTAACACAACAGCACAAAAAATAAGTTATCTAGAGACCAACATATTGTATTCAGCAATAAACTCTAAATGTCGAGACTAAATTGCCCAGAGTCTACAAAAGTTGTGAATAAATCAAAGACGATCAAAAATCTGCTGTCATCACTTAATTCTGTGAAGGACAAAAAACACTACAATGTAACAAAAGACAACTACTGACGAAGTATGTGGCAGAGATATAGTAACTATTTTTAGCATTAGTTCATGTGTACCTTGTATGTGTTTTTCTATATCTAGGAATTTCAAAGTGGAAGTGGATTATTTAAAAATTGATTGCTTCTTTTTATAATTTCATTGGGGTGTAGATGCATTATTTTAACATTGTCATGGATAGCATGTGCAGTCATAGCTGTTGTATTTTATACGGAAATAAGATATGATATTGGAGTGCCTCACGATAGTTGTCAGCCAATCAAAATTATGGATTTTAATGAAACATACATTTAATGTGATGTAATTATCATTTAATCAGTCTATTATTACAATTTATTATACTTCTCGTAAAAATGCAATATTTTGATTGGCTTTAATATACATGGGTGTTAATTTACTCTATTCTATGGTAAAATACTCTATTACCCTTCACGGAGACGCTTGATCAAGTGTGCGCTTTATTAAATACAACTCTATCCTATGGCAAATACTCTATTACCCTTAACGGAGACGCTTGATCAAGCGTGCGCTTTATTAAATACAGATGGTTGTTATGTACAAGACGTCATAGTTTATTACTTTGAATTTGAAATTTAATCGACAGTAATAACAGAACATTCAGTATAATAAATTAAATAACACATATCTGAGCTTCGCCTCAGTTGACAATGTTTTCTGGGGGTAACAATCTGCTCTATCACCCTCTCAGCTATGTGTTATTTATATAATAGTATCATTATTTTAAAGATTTTTTTAGGGTGATTTTCATGTTAGGAACAAGATAATTGGATGGTAAATTAAAATTCATCTAGGCAACATAATATTTAAAAAATACCAGTTTTCATTTGAATGCTATAATGCAGAATTCACCTTAAATTTTGCATCACTAAATCTACTTTTTTTAAAGTAAAAATAAAACATATTTTTGAATGTCTGTATGTTTGTTCTGAAAGTAAAAGTATGATTCTGTTTAAGTAATCCAATTTTCTATAAACATCTAAATTGTTATTTCTATCATGGTGTATATGATATTTAAATTTATTATACTTCATGTCAAAATGCCAGATTTTGATTGGTTAATACAAGGGTGATAATTTACTCTATCATATGGCTAAGCAATTTTTTGAATGTCACCCTCTTGTGCGGACCAATCAAAAATTGATAATTGAAAGGACAATAAATGAATTCATCAGTAATTTTAAAGACTACATTTCAGACCTTTTTTCGTAGACTGTGAACATAAAAAAAATACATCTTGCATCAATTTTGTTGTTTATCTAATAGTTGCAACATTTTAATATACATGATGTCAAAGTTAATTACTTGCAATTTACAATTTATAGGACAAAAATGACAATGTTCATTATAATCAGTTATGACACATAGCGGAGAAGGTGATAGAGAAGATTGTTACCCCTCGAAAAAACATTGTCAACTTTGGCTCTTCTTAACAAATGTACAGATTTCAATAAAATATGAAAGTTTAAATTTAAATAAAAAAACAGAATTTTATATTTTCTTGTCCATATACCTAAACTGAGACAGTTTTAAAGGGGAAAATGTCCATGACATAAAATGTATTTTTATGGTGTTTTCAGGGGGAATGTATCCGTAGAAGGCAGAGGTTTAGGTATAGAAAGACCAGCAGAACTTGGAGCAGAAGATGATGAATTTGATGCTTACAGGAAGAGAATGATGTTAGCATACAGATTCAGGCCTAATCCATTGGTATGTTTATTAGTCTGTAAACCAATCGGTATATAGAGTTGATAGTGAATGATAAAGTATGATGAAACTTTTAACTATCTGTTTGTGTTGTTGTTCACTCTCAGCCACTTTCAAATTCTTCAATTTACATCTCCTTTGTACGAATTAAAAATACAAAGTTTTAATGAAGATCTCATGAATGCTTCAGTATCTATGTTGGATAAAAGGAGATTTGGGTATACACCAATGAGACAGCAACCACTCCAAAAGATAACACATGGAGAGGTCAACATGGGGTCTTCCACAATAGAAAATTGTTTATTCAATAAGTCAAGCTTATATGTTCTTCTAAATTTTATTATAGTAGGTTTCTTACTTTAAAAACTGCACATTTATTCACCAAAGACAAATTGTAACAGACATAGAGATTTTCATTATTAAAACTTTTCTTGCTGGTTGAACAACCTACAGGTAAATTGATACAAAATGAACACAAGAGTGTATATATTTATCTGGTTTTTTTTTCATCTTATTACAATACAGTTTTTTTTTTCCAGAACAACCCAAGAAGACCATACTATTAGTGAATGAAGACAATGAAGATGAAAGACAAAGTTAATATACAGACAAAAATGAAAAATATATGTAGACAATTACTGTGATTATTGTAAGCCTCTATAAAACAAAAGTGGCTTACCCATCTACAAAGCAGTCAAATGTATCCATGCAACTAAGAATTTTGGCTATGCTTTGGTAAACTCGTAAAACCAATAATCGAATAATATTTTTATGAAATCTTAAGTTATGATTTCACCCTGAAGATTTTGTGTGATGTGTGTCCAAAATTGGGGAAATTCCTGTTTTGAAAGTTCTTCAGTGTCCGATGATTTCGTGCATGTCTTCTGATAAAAGTTCATATTGGAAAGATTTTACCAAATTCTGTTCAGTTTGAACAAAACAGACAACTCAGAATGCAGAGCAAAATTTATTTCATTTTGATAAAATTTGCCTTAAAATGAAACAAATTTATTTGAAAATGTCATAATTTTATTGGAAGATTGTTAAATATGGGGTTGCTTTTTATAAATTTATATTAATTTTAACCTATTTTGTCCCTTTGGAAGACTAAAACAATTACAAAAATATTCTATTTATTTTACATTGCGGATATGAAAAAATCAGGTAATGACCAAACTCACTGGTCTGTGCTGACACATGGGATTCCACTTTACTTCAATATTTCAGTATTGAGAATGGCTATGTTGTTTTCAAATAATTTTTTTGGAGGTAATGCGATAAAAATGTCATATAAGTGAAAAAATTCAAAAGATTAGGTTTGCAGTCTTGATTTTTGAAATTGTGGTTGTGATTATGTCCTCTATTGAAGCAACATTAAACAATTAAGTGCCAATCTGCCTAAGAATCAGGCAGTGGTGAAAACATGACAAACAAAAACCCACTCAGGTTGACATTAATTTTTGTTCAAAATGTATAATGGTGCATGAATATAACATTCGTTTCCTTGTCCTGTTCTGGTAATTCAAGATATAATTTGGTTGAAATGCACTAGAAATGAAAAATTAAGGGGAGCTAACTCCGTAATTTGCTATCATTCTAACCAAAATTTATCTAGAGATTTCTCGGATTACCAAACACGCAAAAACGAAAGACCTACTATTTCTAACTCAGGATGAGGGTTACTTCAAAATAGGATGGTTAGGTCGGTGGGTTTTTTTCGGCCATGTTTTGATTTTTTTCAAAATTGCCTGATTCTTACAAAGACTGGCACTTAAATGGATACATTTGATTTATGCAGACATTTTTTGGGATACCTATCAATCATAAAATAAAGATTTTTGTTTAGGGTAATTTTTATGAGATATGCTTTGTTAATTTTTGTTAATTCTGTGTGATATGATCATTTTTCATTTGAATATTTCATGTAGTTTCTGATATCTTGTGCACAATTGTTTTCCCATATGTTTTATGTAGTTAAAGGTTTTAAAAATTACAATCAGTAAAATAATTTAACTATTCTTCAGCTTAATGTACACGATAGAAGAAATCCATGTAAATCGTTGTATTTGAATGGAGTACAGTACCATGTATGTGTTGCAAAGTAACTATAATTCCTGCATATTGTTTCTTCTAGATGAACCAATGAAATGAACACATGAAAATAAGATTAAAAGTAAAATTAAGTATAAACGGTACTCTCAAATTTTTCATTTGAACTAGATTATATTTTTTTTTATCAGAATGCAACTGTAAGTCGTTCTAAAATGATGCTCCTCTTACGTTTTGTAAACAAAGAGATTTTCTAATTCACACAATTGTTAGGTTCACGTGCATGACATCACAATTTTATTTGCGATTGAATGACGCAAGAGATCAAATGGACAATTTTGTGGGTGTTGCTCACTGGAAAATTTTAAAAAAAGTAAATCTATATGTATTTGTACACTTCTTTTTTTTTCTAAACTGTTTCTTGATTTTTTTTTGATTCATTAAATTAAAAAAGGCTGCCTTTCAATTGTAATTGTGTCTTTAGACTAGCTTCAAAAATAAAAAAGTTTCTGAACATTCCTATTCGAGTTCATGTTATAGTCATGTTAACATAGGGATAGGCAGCATTTTAGTCAACATTTTACACCTCATGTACACTTGGTATAAAGATATTGACAAATATAATGCCCACTCATGTTAAAATGAACATAGATCATGACATGCAAGAATTTCTTAATTTATGTCAGTGCAAAATAATACCAATGAATAAATTTGTTAAGAATAAGAAATGTTATGAAATATTTATACCCATCAATTATGTTGCTTTCAATTATCATAAATCAGTGATGTGAAAAGTTAAACTATAAATGATATATCATTATGAAATTATCATTAAGAAATTATCATTTAGAATTATCATAATGGAGTAGTGGTGTATAATTGCTTTTCATTAAAATATGGAAACTTACATTTGTACATAATGACATGTGTCATATTTACTTCCAGCCCCTATCAGTTTTCCCATATACTACAGAATTTTCAGTTTTACAAATGAATCACTACAATAAACATCTCAAACACTTAAAGTTATGAAAACAAAACCACCACAGATTCTTTTAGCTTGGTTCACATACATGGTGATCCTTCATGCATTACTAGGGAACACTGCTATGATAGCCATCAGAAAATTATTCACAATAGATATAAACTATTTAAAAAGTACAACTCATCAGACATATACTATGGGCAATTATCACCATACTAAAGCAAGGAAGAACTAGCACTTAGATTTACTTTTGCTTAGTTAACATGTATTAGTAAGTGATTAGGTCAGTTTATGGGGAATCACTAGTGGTAGGTCAATGATATTTGGTATGCAGTTGGATAAGCATTGGCACTTCTCATTTCCATGGAGATTATCTGGACCTGCCCCCTCAGTCATGGTCTATTGACTTTGAAACTTTTACTTAGTTCACATGTACTAGTTTGTGATTAAATCAGTATTAGATGAACCACATATGTTAATTCAATGATATTTGGTATGCAAGTCTAATTTCCTTGGAGATAATATAGCCCCATCCCCTCATTATGGTTCATTGACTTTGAACTTTTTACATAGTTTACAAGTTAATGTTTGTGTTTAGGTTTGCTTAAAGGGAACGACTTATGATAAGTCAATGGTATTTGGTATGCAGTTGTATTAGCATTGGCACATCTCATTTCCATGGAGAATGATTAGCCATGTACCTTTAGTCATGGTTCATTGACTTTGAATATTTGCATAACTTACATGTTAAAGTATTGCTATTTTAATTTCAACATTTGCATTATCAAAATAACAAAAAGGCGAGACATATCTCTGTGTTCACAGTTTATGTTTTGAGTTATTACTTAATTTGACTGCTCTGGTTTACAATGTATTTCTGGTAAACCTGGTGATATTGGTTGATGTCAGGGTCTTATGACATTTATTATAGAAATCATGCCAAAGATGATTCAGGCCAATGGATTTAAATTGGCTCCAATTGATAATGATTCCAGAATTTATCAAATTAACTATGACACAGTGGACACCAAGTATTGGAATACATCAAATAGATATACAACCTTAAATGACATACAACCAATATCCAAAAATAAAACTCTGTCCAACCCTCTCACATTTATTTAAATGAAATAGCCCTAATAGTAATGACAACAAAAAACCACCATAAGGCTATTTCCTGAAATATATCCTTCACTAGAAAAGATTATCAGTTGGCCCTTATGACATCATTTATCAGATAGAGGGAGCGACTATATCCCTGCACTATTCAAGTTTCAAGCATTTTCAGGATCATCGTTCTGCAGGGTAGTCTAGAAATAATTTATGTTCCGCAAGTATGTTATGTCAATTCCTGTATGACTGAAGGAAGGGTGACTAACTAATTAGATCTTAATTTCCTGAATGTTTTGTGCAGTTTATCATTAAATTTTTCACCCATTTGCTCAATATGTGTTGGAAGTGATGATGCATCACGTGGTGATGGAAGTCAAATGACAGAAATAAATAACTACCGTATCTTGGAACAGGCGTATTGTCATACATGTTTTGAGTTACTAATAATGACAGACTAATTCAATTTAAAAATAATATGAATAGCTAGTTTAGGTAAATATTTATACCCCACAGAGCAAAGTTCCGTAGGGTATAATGTATTTAACCTGTCTGTCAGTCCTGTTCTTGTCATGACAACTCTTCTGAAACCACACAATATTTTTGATATTAAGTGTGATTCAACTTTTTGCCCCTTTGAACTAAGAATGTTGGCCTAAATATACTACTGCAACAGTTTGTCATCGCAATTCCTCTGAATCCACACAACAGAATTTCATGAAACTTTGTAGTAAATTAGAACATACTATGTAGATGTGAATATAAACAGGAAATTATGATTCAACTTTTTTTCTAGGAGTTATGCCCCTTTGAACTTAGAATTTTGGCCTAAACATATTACTGCAACAGTTTGTCATCGCAACTCCTCTGAAACCTCAACAGAATTGCATGCAACTTTGTAGATTAAAAGGACATACTATGTACATGTACATATCGACATGAAATTATGATTCAACTTTTTTTCTAGGAGTTATGCCCTTTGAACTTAGAATTTTGGTCTATAAAATATACTACTGCAACAGTTTGTCATCCCAACTCCTCTAATGCCTAACAACAGAATTTTATGCAACTTTGTAGGTTATAAGGACATACAGTGTACATGTGCATATCGACAGGAAATTATGACTCAACTTTTTTTCTAGGAGTTATGCCCCTTTGAACTTATAGTTTTGGCCAAATATACTACTGCAACAGTTTGTCATTGCAACTCCTCTGAATCCGCACAACAGAATTTTGTGAAACTTTGTAGTTTAATAATAAGAACAAACCATGTAGATGAGCATGTATTCAGGAAATTATGATTCAACTTTTTCCTAGGAGTTATTCCCCTTTGAACAGAATTTTGGCCAAATATACTTATGCAACAGTTTGTCATTGCAACTCCTCAGAAACCTCACAACAGAATTTCATGAAACTTTGTAGATAATAAGGACATACTATGTAGACATGCATAAAATATGAAATTGTGATTCAATTATTATAGCCCTGCCACAAAGTGGTTTGGCCATATAGTTTTACCCTTACCCGTCATTTCATCATTCCATCATTCTGCAATGAACAGTTATACAGACTTTTTTATGCCCCCACAGGGGGCATTAAGTTTTACCCTTGTCCGTCTGTACGTAAGTACGTCCCAAAATTGGTTTCCGTTCTGTAACTTTAGTTTGCCTCAACCAAATGTTATGAAACTTATACACAATGCTTTTACCACAAAACACAGATCAAGTTTGAATTTTGGTGGCGTCACTTTTACTGTTCTAGAGTTATGCCCCTTTACAAATGGAAAATTGCTGAATTTATCGTTTCCATTCTCTAACTTTAGTTTGCCTCAACCAAATGTTATAAAACTTATACACAATGCTTATCACCACAAAACACAAATCAAGTTTGAATTTTGGTGGCTTCACTTTAACCATTCTAGAGTTATGCCCTTTAGAAATGGAAAAATTGCAAAATTTTTATTTTCTTCTAAATATCAAGTAATTTTATTAAAATTGGAGTTATCTTCCTTTGTCCATGATTATAGTTGAATCAACTACAATCAATGCTTTATACAATGCAATGTTTAATTTTGACTTCCACTGATAAAACACAGATCAAGTTGAATTTGGGTAGTGTCACTTTAATCATTATTGAGTTATGCCCCTTTATAAATCGAAAGATTGCAAAATTTTTAGTTTCCATTCTGTAACTTAAGTTTGCCCCAACCAAACATTATGAAACCTATACACAATATTCATTACCACAAAACTAAGATCAAGTACAAATTTTTTGTTTCTGTTTTCTAGCTTTAGTTTGCCTCAACCAAATGTTATGAAACTTATACACAATGCTTATTACTACATAATACAGATTAAGTACGAAATTTGATGGCAACACTTTTACCATTCTTGAGTTATGTCCCTTTATAATTTCTAAATGCCTTCACATACTGAGCTGATTTTTAGTGTGTGAGTCTACTATGATGAGTTACAGATAGAGTTTACATTTGGATCCCCTCTGCTGAATTTTGCCGAAATTACAGGCTTTGGACTTCGAAAATTTCGTGAAAATAACAGTTATATGGACTTCCAAATTTCTACTCCTAAAAATGGCTTCAAGCTTTTTTTGTGAGGGGGGCCATTTGTGTCGTTCCTACTCATCTAGTTTTTCTATAAGTTAAGCCACTTTGAACTCAGAAATTGTGGCCCAAAGAATTTTATGAAACTTTATAGATAATAAGGACATAATGTTATGAATCTTTGAAATTTGGAATCTGGTGAGATTTTGCCTACCCAGTGACAAGGTTCTTTAATTTTTTTTTGTGTTATCCCTATTAAGCATAAAACCCTATATAGCTAGTCAATCCTGGCCACCTAAGCTTCTAAAAACTAAAACAAAGATATGTCTAATATACTTTGCAAGAAAATAAAAATTACACAGCAATTTGATGGACTGTGCCATACCACTGCATATATATATATGAAATAATGAAAGTATCATATAACATTCAACATATGTTTTTCTTATATTATACCTGAGTAAAAAGTAGATCAATGTAATGGCTTCAAATTAACAAGAGGCTCTCAAGAGCCTGAATCGCTCACCTGTAATTTTTATGCTTAAATCTTTCATCAATGATTATTTTTGCTTTTCAATATATATTAATGAGTGGCTTAAAAATGCCATTTAAATGTTCTTTGTATCTGTCTTATATTCTTCAAAAGCAAAAAAATTCATTTTACCCCTATGTTTCATTTTAGCCATAGTGGCTATGTTTCTTGACCTACAAGGAAATAAAATACAAAATTTATACTAGATACTCTGAAACTCATTCAGCCCAAGTTCTAAATGCTTTAGTTTTTGAGATATGTCAAAAACTGCATTTTACCCTATGTTCTATTTTTTAGCCATGGTGGCATGTTTTCTGAGGAAACAGAAAATAAAACACAAACTTTATTCTAGATAACCTAAGAATCATTCAGTTTAATTTTGGTTTAATTTGGTTTAGTAGTTTCAGAGGAGAAGATTTTTTAAAGTTAAAAACATGATAAACAAATTGTGTATAATTGTCCTTAAGGGGTCAATTGACAATTTTGGTCATATAAAACTTATTTGTAGATCTTTAAATACTTTGCTGAACATTTTTGCTGTTTACAGTTTAAGTTTATTTTTATCAATAATAGTATTCAAGATAATAACCAAAAACTGCAAAATTTCCTTTAACTTACCAATTTAGTGGCAGCAACCCAACAATGGGTTGTTAGATTCATCTGAAAATTTCAGGGCTGATAGAACTTGACCTAATGAACATATTTACCCCATGTCAGATTTGCTCTAAATAATGCTTTAGTATTTGAGATATAAGCCAAAAACTGCATTTTACCCCTATGTTCTATTTTTAGCCATGGTGGCCATGTTTTGAAGACGAAACAGAAAATAAAACACAAACTTTATTCTAGATACCCTAAGGATCATTCAGCTTAAGTTTGGTTGGAATTGGTTCAATAGTTTCAGAGGAGAAGATGTTTGAAATAGTTTACACCGGACAACGAGGACGTCGGATCACAAGTGATGGCAAAAGCTCACATGAACTTGCACCAATTGCATCATTGCCCTTGCAACTTCAAAAAATGTGAAAAGACACAAAGGAGTAATAAAAAACCATAAGTCAAGAAGGAAGTCAACACCAGGGGAAAAAAAAACAACAGTAAAAAAAAGAAATACCAAGCATCAGAAACCCCAACAAAAACAGTGTGAAATCAGATGCTGGAGAAGGGTTGACACTTGTCCTGCTACTCCGGATATATATATCTGATAAGTCATAATCAGTGATAAGGATTCATATCCTTATCATAGCAGCTTGTTAGATATCTCTTGTTTAACCCTAAGCAACGTTACCAAAGTTTATATTATCTCACCCTATAACATGTCTGAAAGTTTGATATGAAAATATTAAATGTATTTCAAAAAGAACAGACCGGACGTTAAATGACAGAAACAGCAGCATTAAAAAATAAATGGGGAATGTGTCCATGGGACACAGATGATGCCCCCGCTTGCATATAATGTTATAAAGGGATATAACACAAGAACTGTAAAAGTGACGCTACCCAAATTGATCTTGATCTGAGTTTTGTGGTAATAAGAATTGTGTATAAGTTTCATAACATTTGGTTGAGGCAAACTAAAGTAAGAGAATGGAAACGAAAAATTCAGCAACTTTTCCATTTGTAGAGGGATATATTTCTAGAACGGCAAAAGTGACGCCACCAAAATTCAAACTTGATCTGTGTTTTGTGGTAATAAGCATTGTGTATAAGTTTCATAACATTTGGTTGAGGCAAACTAAAATTATAGAACGGAAACCAATTTTGGGACTTATGTACGTACAGACGGACAAGGGTAAAACTTAATGCCTGCAGGGGCATAAAAAAGTCTGTATAACTGTTCATTGCAGAATGATGGAATGATGAAATGACGGGTAAGGGTAAAACTATATGGCCCAACCACTTTGTGGCAGGGCTATAATAATTGAATCACAATTTCATATTTTATGCATGTCTACATAGTATGTCCTTATTATCTACAAAGTTTCATGAAATTCTGTTGTGAGGTTTCTGAGGAGTTGCAATGACAAACTGTTGCATAAGTATATTTAGCCAAAATTCTGTTCAAAGGGGAATAACTCCTATAAAGTTCCATAATATTTGGTTGAGGCAAACTAAAGTTAAAGAACGGAAATGAAAAATTCAGCAATTTTTCCATTTATAAAGGGGCATAATTCTAGAACAGTAAAAGTGACGCCCCCAAAATTCAAACTTGATCTGTGTTTTGTGGTAATAAGCATTGTGTATAAGTTTCATAACATTTGGTTGAGGCAAACTGAAGTTAGAGAACGGAAACAAAAGAATTTAGCAATTTTTCCATTTGTAAAGGGACATAACTCTAGAACGGTTAAAGTGATGCCACCAAAATTCAAATTTGATCTGTGTTTTGTGGTTATAAGCATTGTGTATAAGTTTCATAACATTTGGTTGAGGCAAACTAAAGTAAGAGAATGGAAAACAATTTTGGGACAGACAAGGGTAAAACTTAATGCACCCTCAGCTACAGCAGGGGCATAATAAAAAGAATGCCAAGGCCAAGCAAACCCCACTAAAAGAAAACTGTTATTGTTCCATTAGTGGCATTCATCAAGCAATCCTGTTGCATATTTCTTAACTAGATATCACACAGATTCACTCTTGTCAGCATGGGTTTTATAGTAGGATGCCAAATGCAATAGTAAAGCAGGATCTCCCTTGAAAATTACAAGCCAACTCGGAGAATTAAACTTGGGACCTCTGTTTGAAGTCCAAGCTGTAACGGACTGTGCAAAAGAGGTACTTTCCTAAATACCCAAGTATTGACTACTCAAGGAAAGTGATCCTTCAACTTAAATTTATTATTTTTATAAAAAGAAATAAAGGAAATTATTAAAAAATCCTGTAAAGGGCCAGATGACATTAGGCCATTACTAATGAAAACAATGGTCCATATTCCATTAATGTCTTTAAAAAACAGGAAAAGGCATTATGTAGCAAAAATAAATCTTTAATACATGTAACAACATACATATAAATTATTTTTACCTATAAGTTCTATACAGAGCTAAACAATATAAATCTATGCTTGTTTTAAATAAATTTACAAATCTTCTGTAGTGAACATTCCACTTTCTGACATTTTCGGTCTACCATAACAATGAACATGTCTATAAACAACATTGGATCTTAATGTTTTTAAATAAACAACAGTAAAATTGACTGTCATGACTGTTGTATTATATCACTTGGATTGGATCTGTTTGACAAATAACCTTTCTTCTCCTCACTTGCAGTCATTACATTTTTTCATATGTATCAATATGTCCACATGTCAGACATTTTTTACTGTACATATCATCTTCTTCGTCATATGTTTCTTCTCCATACTCATGCTGATGTGGTCCTCTGTCTTTTCTTGCTAAACTTCCTCTCACAGCCAATCTCAATTCTGACATAGAAAAATAAAAAACAATATCAAATTACACTTTGTCAACCAACAAAAATATTAAAACTGTAAATTCAGAAATTATTGCAATTGCTGGACAATCTACATTATGCAAGTTTAATTATTACCATTTTAGATACCAAATACTGCATAAAAATAATGGTATCAAAATTTAAAATGCAAGTTTATATTTTTGCAACACCTATCACATTGCAATTTTTTTATAATAAAAACATGGCAAAAATTTCTGAATTTACAGTATTTAAGTGGCAGCAGGTTACTTCATAGTTTGACATATTTATGTAGTGGATGTCTTAATGCAGACCTCTTTTTAATGGTCCATTGAACAACCTTAAGTTTTCATAAGTCAATCAAGTTTGAGGAACCTGCACTAATTTTTATACAACCGCAAAAATTAAAAAATTTTTGGTCGTATATTGGTATGACGTTGGCGTCATAGTCGTCGCATTCGTCATCGTCGGCTTCGTCCGGCGTCGTCCAAAGACACATTGGTTTTCGCACTCTAACTTTAGTTTAAGTGAATGGATCTCCATGAAATTTCACCATAAGGTTCAATACCACAAAAGGAAGGTTGGGATTGATTTTGGGGGTTATGGTACCAACAGTTAAGGAATTAGGGGCCAAAAATAAGCATTTTTGTAACTTCCAGACAATAACTTGTGTGTAAGTGTATGGATCTCTCTGACATTGTACCACAAGGTTCCATATCACAAAGGGAAGGCTGTAATTGATTTTGGGGGTAATTGCCTCAAATTTTAGGAATTAGGGACCAAAAAAGGGGCAAAAAACAAGCATTTTTCTAGTTTCATGACAATAACTTGTGTGTAAGTGTTTGGATATTTCTGAAATTGTACTACAAGGTTCCATATCACAAAGGGAAAGCTGGAATTGAGTTTGGGGGTAATTGCCTGAAATGTTTAGGAATTGGGGGCCAAAAAGGGGCCAAAAATAAGCATTTTTCTAGTTTCCAGACAATAACTTGTGTTCAAGTGTATGGATCTCTCTGAAATTGTACTGCAAGGTACCATACCACAAAGGGAAGGCTGGGATTGAGTTTGGGGGTGATGAATCATAAGGGGGTTCAAAAAATTTGGGGGGGGGATTTTTTTTTCTTTCTTTTTTTCTTTTTTCCTTTTTTTTTTCTTTTAAAATTTTCCATTTTAAGTTGGTTGTTTCTGATTTATATTTAAAAGCAAATAATATTGATATGGTAGGAGATACACACCAAACAGGATGTGTAAATTATTATATAATAAGTATTGTGCAATAGCAAGAAATTTTCAATTGCACAGTATTGTACAATAGCAAGAAATCTTCAATTGCACAGTATTGCGCAATAGCAAGAAATCTTCAATTGCACAGTATTGCGCAATAGCAAGAAATATCCAATAGCACAATATTGCGCAATAGCAAGAAATTGTCAATTGTACAGTATTGCGCAATAGCAAGAAATATTCAATTGCACAGTATTGTGCAAAAGAAGATACTTCATATAAATTGCTTATTTCTTGATCAATTTCAATGGGGTTTATTCTTGAATTCTTGGGGTTCTTTAATATGCTGAATCTAACCGTGTATTAAGTTTTTGGATTTTGGGCCCCGTTTTTAAATTGGTCCACATTGAGGTCCAAAGTGTCCAAAATTTAACTTTGTTTGAATTCAACAAAAATTGAATATATGGGGTTCTTTGATATGCTGAATCTAACCATGTATTTAGATTTTGGATATTGGACCATAATAGGTGAATGTCTAATTTAAAATTTTTAAGTTCTTAGACCACATTCATTCTGTGTCAGAAACCTATGCTGTGTCAAATATTTAATCACAATCCAAATTCAGAGCTGTATCAAGCTAGAATGTTGTGTCCATACTTGCCCCAACTGTTCAGAGTTTGACCTCTGCGGTCGTATCAAGCTGCGCCCTGCGGAGCATTTTATTATTCTAGGAACACTTTAAATTCAGACAAATTTATGAATTCGAAGGATATATAATGAATCCCACTTTTTAAAGTTAAATGCATTGTGCTTATGAAAGAATTTATATAGTTCCTATAATTTTTCTATAAAAATAAATATTATTGCTGGGTAAATGAGCTTAAAAGGTGCATTAGCTGTACAAAAAGTTAAAACTTTCAATCATAACAATATTTTTCTTTTAAAGTTTAAATAGGCATTAGCTGTCAAATTCATGTCCACCAATTTGTCTCAAATTCTCGTATTTGATTTATAATGTACAATAACAAAAAGTCCAAAACAAACAATTAACAATGCATAGACTTGTTATAATGTATCAGCATTTCGTGTGTATTTTAGACTAGGACACCATCTAATTAACCATTGAGATGACCTCTGTAAAATGCAAATGGAACAATACCTTTGACTTTCTTGTCAAATTTTTTTCGCTTCGTTTTTTCTTTATTGTCTTCCCTTTTATCTCTTTCTTCTTCTATCTTTTCTTCTGTTTCCCAAATCTCCATTGCTCTTTTATATACCTTATCAAAAATAACAACAAAACAAATGTATACAGATTGAAATAAACTAATATAATCTAACATATGAAACATAAATCTTCATGTCTATCAACTTTAAACACAAACAACTATGGGCAGATATAATATCTATAACAGTACTTGAAAATTCAGATAATAGAATTATTTGAACAAAAGTTTAATTTTAGATTTTAACACTATTATAGATGTAAATAGAGTAACAGTACTCTAAACAATCACAGAAAATTAAGCTGTTTTTCCAATATCAAGCTGAGGTTGTGAGTTTGAAGTCCACTTGTGGCAAGGTGAGTTCGACTCAGATGGTGACTAAGAATGTAAGTTTTCCTGCCAAAGATTGGTGGTTCTCTCTGGGTACTCTGGCTCCCTCAACCAATAAAAACTGGCAGCCATTGGTTCTCTCTGGGTACTCCGGCTCCCTCAACCAATAAAAACTGGCAGCCATTGGTTCTCTCTGGGTACTCCAGCTCCCTCAACCAATATAAACTGGCAGCCATTGGTTCTCTCTGGGTACTCCGGCTCCCTCAACCAATATAAACTGGCAGCCATTGGTTCTCTCTGGGTACTCCAGCTCCCTCCACCAATAAAAACTGGCAGCCATTGGTTTTCTCTGGGTACTCCGGCTACCTCAACCAATATAAACTGGCAGCCATTGGTTCTCTCTGGGTACTCTGGCTCCCTCAACCAATATAAACTGGCAGCCATTGGTTCTCTCTTGGTACTCCGGCTACCTCAACCAATATAAACTGGCAGCCATTGGTTCTCATTGGGTACTCCGGCTACCTCAACCAATATATACTGGCAGGCATTGGTTCTCTCTTGGTACTCCGGCTACCTCAACCAATATAAACTGGCAGCCATTGGTTCTCTCTGGGTACTCCGGCTACCTCAACCAATATAAACTGGCAGCCATTGGTTCTCTCTGGGTACTCCAGCTCCCTCAACCAATATAAACTGGCAGCCAAGTTGGTTGAAAGTGGCATGGCTCCCTCAACCAACATAAACTGGCAGCCAAGTTGGTTTAAAGTGGCATTTATCACCAATAATCAATTGGTTTTCAAAAGTAAGTGTGAGTTTTTGTTAGGTCTTGCTAACTTTGTTATACCTTTATGTAATTTTTTATGGAAGAGGAAGCTAGAGTATACTTTCAGTTTGATAGTTTGAGCTTTAAAATGTTTTTTACAGTAAAATGATTGCCCTTCCAGTATCTAATGGGTCAACTCAAAAGTTTTGTTGTAGCATACCTTCCTTGAGTGAAGAAGCAAAGTTCAACACTGAGATTTTAAAGATTATCATTTGCTGCTTCTACACTAAGCATGCAGCATTTAGGATTAAAAGCAGACTGTTTGAATGTGTCCAGGTAGAAAAACAGGTCTTCCTACAGACTGTTACTTAGTGAGCTAGCATATCTAATATCTAACTCAGCTTTGGTAAAGCACAAAGCCGGATATATGGGTATGACACTAACATCTGATTAAACATAAAAAGATGGAAGACTAAGACAAAAATGATAGATGGATGATAGCAATAGCTCACATTGGCCCTTATGCCCAGGTGAGCCATACATTATAGACATTATAAATATAAGGAGATGTGGTGACAAGCCAATGAGACAACTATACACCAAAGTTCAAATGAAGTGGATGTATTAAAACAATTATAGGCAACTGTGCAGCTTTCAACAATGAGAAAAAACCCATACCATATAGTCAGATATAAAAGGACCCGACATGAAAAATATTAAACAATTCAATTGAGAAAGTTAACGGCCTAATTTATAGCAAAATAATTTACGAAAAACAAATACATGTATGACCAATACAAGCCAAGGACATCTACTCAATTACAGGCTCCTGACTTGGGACAGGCACATATAGAATGTGGAGGGTTTGTTTTGCTACTACTGTATGTGTTACCTGAGGTTCGTAAAAGAGTTTCATTTCTCCCCATGATTTGTGATGTGGATTCTTCCTTGAGATGAACTTCAAAGGAGGATCTCGAACATCAAAATCAGCATCTCGTAATAAATACTTGGTCTTTGCATCTGTTTTGGTAATTAAATTGTGTTTTTCTTCATTTTCCCTGTCAAATAAATAAGCTTCAGTTATAGCATACCTTAATATCTGTTGTTACAAATGCAAACAACCCCATTTATTAACCGTTATATAAATATATTTTTATAATTGCTGTAAATTCAGAATGGATTTCTGATACTTTTTTACATTGAAAGTGAATAATTTAGTCTTTTACAGTCTGGAGATTATAATCATTATCATCATTAGGTTCCAAAAGACCAAACTACAATAAAGATTAGACAATAGTTTACATGTTTATTCAGAGAACACATAATTACACCATCAATAACACTATGTTTATATATGAAATAATATTCCTAACAGGAATGACAACTTATATTTAACAAACAACATGCCAATGAATGCATCTTATCGCAAGGTGTACTGTTTAAATATGAAAAAAAGACTGTCAGGTTGAAACAAAGGGAAATGATAAAGAAAACACAAACCATCTCAGATCATACCAATACATGATCACAAAATGTCTTAGAAATGCAAAACTAACATCAAAATGAAAAAAAAATCAGTTATACACACCTACATATATCACAAATGTCTACATCATAATTGGTTTTCAAGTAAGACTCCTGCATTTCTTTTCCACAATCATCACAAAATATTTTGTTTTCTGTAATAACAGGGCCTGAAAACATCAAAACCATTTGTACAATGTGTGGCTCATTGAAAATATAAAAACAATACTTTTTGTTCACTAAACATGGTACATTTACACTAAGAATTAAATTTGAATATTATGGAATGCTCTATCCTGAAAAATAACATGTTGTGAAGCAATTGTTGACAATAGCTACTTGCATAATCTTTGATTTTTTTTCAAAATGGGGAACATTTTGAAATCTTTATAAACGAATATATAAGCATGTGTCTAAGATCCAAAAACTATTTATGAATCAAAGTTAAACATACATGCCCATCCAATATGAAGTCCAGTAATACATTCCTAGGGTTATTTGAACTACAATCTAAATGTTTGATCAGCTTTAAAGGAGGAAATTTAATATTCATATGAAGAGCAGATGATTAAATCAGTGATACGAGTACATATGGGCTCTATTTCTGTTAAGGAGAAATCTAAAATTTTCTGTTGGTAGATGGTGGATATAAAAACATGTGTGGAAAGCCAACTATAAAGAGATTTATTAGAATGTTTGTCACAGCTTGGAGCATGCTTTATTGGAATGTTTGCCATTAGTTTGTCACCTACAAGGAGCATGATTTTTTGAATGTTTACCATTAGTTTGTCACAAACCAGGAGCATGCTTTGTTTGAATGTTTGCTATTAGTTTGTAACCTACCAGGAGCATGCTTTGTTTGAATGTTTGCCATTAGTTTATCACCTACCAGGAGCATCCTTTGTTTGAATGTTTGCTTTAAGTTTATCACCTACCAGGAGCATGCTTTATAGGAATGTTTGCCATTAGTTTGTCACTTACAAGAAGCATGCTTTGTTTGAATGTGTGCCATCAGTTTGTCACCTACTAGGAGCATGCTTTATTGGAACATTTGCAATTAGTTTGTCACCTACCAAAAGTATGCTTTATTGGAATGTTTGCCATTAGTTTGTCACCTACCAGGAGCATGCTTTATTGGAATGTTTGCCATTATCTTGTCACCTACAAGGAGCATGATTGTTTGAATGTTTGCTATTAGTTTGTCACCTACCAGGAGCATGCTTTGTTTGAATGTTTGCTATTAGTTTGTAACCTACCAGGAGCATGCTTTATCTGAATGTTTGTCATTAGTTTGTCACAAACCAGGAGAATGCTTTGTTTGAATGTTTGTCATTAGTTTGTAACCTACCAGGAGCATGCTTTATTTGAAAGTTTGTCATTAGTTTGTCACAAACCAGGAGCATGCTTTATTTGAATGTTTGCCATTAGTTTGTCACAAACCAGGAGCATGGTTTATTTGAATGTTTGTCATTAGTTTGTCACCTACCAAAAGTATGCTTTATTGGCATGTTTGCCATTAGTTTGTCACAAACCAGGAGCATGCTTTGTTTGAATGTTTGCTATTAGTTTGTAACCTACCAGGAGCATGCTTTATTTGAATGTTTGTCATTAGTTTGTCACCTACCAGGAGCATGCTTTGTTTGAAAGTTTGCCAATAGTTTGTCACAAACCAGGAGCATGCTTTATTTGAATGTTTGTCATTAGTTTGTCACCTACCAGGAGCATGCTTTGTTTGAATGTGTGCCATAAGTTTGTCACCTACCAGGAGTGTGCTTTATCTGAATGTTTGCCATTGGTTTGTCACCTACCAGGAGCATCCTTTGTTTGAATGTTTGCTTTTAGTTTATCACCTACCAGGAGCATGCTTTGTTTGAATGTTTGCTTTTAGTTTATCACCTACCAGGAGCATGCTTTATTTGAATGTTTCCTTTTAGTTTATCACCTACCAGGAGCATGCTTTGTTTGAATGTTTGCTTTTAGTTTATCACCTACCAGGAGCATGCTTTGTTTGAATGTTTGCTTTTAGTTTATCACCTACCAGGAGCATCCTTTGTTTGAATGTTTTCTTTAAGTTTATCACCTACCAGGAGCATCCTTTGTTTGAATGTTTGCTTTAAGTTTATCACCTACCAGGAGCATGCTTTATTGGAATGTTTGCCATTAGTTTGTCTTCATCGTCATCGTCCTCTAGGAAGAATCCTGCTCCAGTGTCAATGATTTTAGCTGGACCTTTGACTTTTTGCCTACAAAAGCACATAGTGGATTACAAAAAGTTCACATCTGTTCCTCTGATTTATAAGATATTGGATACAACAAACAATAAGTTGTTTGAAAAGGGAATGAAAGTAATGAAGTGAACTAATTATTACGAGCTATTAATTAACTTGTTCTCAGATAAATCAATCAGGTTTCTTTAAGGATAATGACCCCTTCTGTAGGCCTGTGTATTACAAACCTTTCAAGGTGCAATAAAATCCAAACAGCAAAAATACTGACAACATGAGACGTGCCCTTTTGTTAATTTACCAAAGGGAAATAATGTTCACAGCAATAATATTTATTGTTTCATTGCATTTAATAGAAAATGGGGATTGTGTGGCAAATCTAGCCAAGAATTTTACAGAAAATCCACAGACTTTATTACAGATAGTTATGTTTTAACATTTTAAATATAGATTACTCACTTGTTTGTTCATGTTGTGCATTTATTGTTCACGAAAAGTCCTAAATAACCTTTACCATCCAAAAATACCATGTGCTGAGTCACTAAATTTGAGCACACACTAGAAAGTGTGCTTGAATAGTTCAATATCTGTACTTGTTTTAACTAATATCTTAATATAAAAACTTATTTTATGGGAATCATTGCTAGCACTACATGCAGTAATCCCTTTTCTATAAAGTACCAAAATGTCAAATATAAGAGTACAAGGGGAAAGGCTGTGGATTTATTTTTATAAAATTTCCATAAGTTTGGCATTAAAACAAAAAAAAAGGGTACATTATTCTTAAATTACCAATTGACCAAATAAACATTCTTAATAATCTCTTATTTGTGTTAAATCACATGTACTTTTTTGCAACCATCATAGTGTTTGCAACTGTTGTTAGTGTATGCAGTTGTTGTGTAGGACCTTAACATCCCCCAACTTACAAAGAAATTTTGCACCTTCTATTATGGAGATGTATTTGTTGTGTATTTAAAGGTTTTTTCTCATTTTTACATTTTATGTACCCATATTTTTATATGTTCAGTACCGGTAAAAACCATTCTCCGTTGTTTAAGAAATTAAAAATTCTTCGAAACCTAACCATTTGAGTCTTTGATCAATATCAATTTTTATCAGGTAATTAACATTCAAAAATGAACAATATTAATGACATAAGATACATAAACATGAATTGATAAAAAAAACTTCATTCTGCATTTGTCATAACTTTTTAATTGTCCTTTAGCATGTTTAGTAACAGGAAATGTAAGTATTCACTTAAAGACTTAGATTTAATTACCCAACATCATTTTTGTCTTTAGAATATGGTTTGTTCAGCAGTCTGGCTTGTCTAAGTAGTAAAGCTTTTTGCCTGTTCCTTTCTATCCTGGCCTTCTGTGATGGTGCAAGCTTCTTTTCTTCAATTTCATTTTCTAAAATGCAAGATGAAAATCAAGGTAAAAACATTGTAAAGTCTGAATGTAAAGAAGATCTAAACCAGTAGATAAAAAAATGTAAACATTACAATATTGTATTCTGATTGGATATATAAATAAACATGAATACAAATGCTGGTTTTTTTTTACCAGTTGTACACCGGGTTTGTACTAACATAAGTAACACGACGGGTGCCACATGTGGAGCAGGATCTGCTTACCCTTCCAGAGCACCTGAGATTACCCCTAGATTTTGGTGGGGTTCGTGCTGTTCAGTCTGGAGTCTGTTGTGTTTTGTATCCTGTTGTTTGTCTGTTGGTCTTTATCTCTTTTAACCATGGCGTTGTCAGTTTATTTTCAACTTATGAGTTTGAATGTCCCTTTGGTATCTTTGGACTCTCTTTTGTACTCCTCTGGAGCATCTGAGATCACTCTGGTTTTGGTTGGGTTTGTGCAGGTGTTTCTGAGTCTTTAGTTTCTGTGTATTTCTTTGTCGACTGTTGTCTTTTAATCCTTTTTCTTTTTGGCCATGGTATTGTCTGGTTTTCTTCGACATAATTGTTATTGTTGTTCCCATGGTATATTCTGTCTCTTTTTTGTAAAAGAAGATTCTCCACTTTTTTATAAGTTAGTAGCTAAAACTGATCTCCATGCAGTTCTCATGTTAAATGTAGGCATAGTTAAACATACATGCCAAGTCACAGTTTTTTGCAAGTTAACAGCCTAAAATTGTCTAATTTTTCTGTCATTCATGTGTCATTGTCTTGCTTGTAAATCTGATCTGACATCTGACATGCAAAAATTTACCATGTTGACATATACATTCAAATGACCCATTGCACCAAAGAGCTAACAAATTTGGTTTTAAAAATGAATAAAATGCTCCGCAGGGCGCAGCTTGATACGACCGCAGAGGTCGAACCCTGAACAGTTGGGGCAAGTATGGACACAACATTCAAGCTTGATACAGCTCTGAATTTGGATTGTGATTAAATATTTGACACAGCATAGGTTTCTGACACAGAATGAATGTGGTCTAAGAACTTAAAAATTTTAAATTGGACATTCACCTATTATGGTCCAATATCCAAAATCTAAATACATGGTTAGATTCAGCATATCAAAGAACCCCAAGAATTCAATTTTTGATGAAATCAAACAAAGTTTAATTTTGGACCCTTTTGACCTCAATGTGGACAAAGTTGATAACGGGAGCCAAAAATCAAAAATCTAAATACATGGTTAGATTCAGCATATCAAAGAACCCCATATATTCAATTTTTGTTGAAATCAAACAAAGTTTAATTTTGGACCCCGATTTGGACCAACTTGAAAACTGGGCCCATAATCAAAAATCTAAATACATGTTTAGATTCGGCATATCAAAGAACCCCAATAATTCAATTTTAGAAGAAATCAAACAAAGTTTAATTTTGGACCCTTTGGACCTCAATGTGGACCAATTTAAAAACGGGGCCCAAAATCCAAAAACTTAATACACGGTTAGATTCAGCATATTAAAGAACCCCAAGAATTCAAAGAATTAAAACCCCATTGAAATTGGTCAAGAAATAAGCAATTTATAGGAAGTATCTTCTTTTGCACAATACTGCCCCTGTTTGGCCCCCAATTCCTAAACGTTGCGGGCAATTACCCCCAAACTCAATTCCAGCTTTCCCTTTATGATATGGAACCTTGTAGTACAATTTCAGAAATATCCAAACACTTACACACAAGTTATTGTCATGAAACTAGAAAAATGCTTGTTTTTTGGCCCTTTTTTGGCCCCTAATTCCTAATATTTTGAGGCAATTACCCCAAAATCAATTCCAGCCTTTCCTTTGTGATATGTAACCTTGTGGTACAATGTCAGAGAGATCCATACACTTACACACAAGTTATTGTCTGGAAACTAGAAAAATGCTTATTTTTGGCCCCTAATTCCTTAACTGTTGGTACCATAACCCCCTAAATCAATCCCAACCTTCCTTTTGTGGTATTGAACCTTATGGAAAAATTTCATAGAGATCCATTTACTTAAACTAAAGTTAGAGTGCGAAAACCAATGTGTCTTGGGACGACGCCGGACGACGATGATGACGACGACGCCGACGACGCCAACGTCATACCAATATACGACCGCAAAATTTTTTGCAGTCGTATAAAAACAAATTTGAAAGATCTGTATAAACATGTATATTTATATGTAGGACTCTGAACCGCAATGGTACTCCAAACTGTGATGGTCACACTGAAGTGCGATGTTGTAATTGTGACACTATCTTGTTGATAGCTACGCCAAAGTGTGATGGTGGTAACGCTGAAGTGCGATGGACTACATAAACTATATTTTCAATGCTTTTCAGGTCGATGTAGAAGTCAATTTGTTTGTTAGAAGCAGTTTTAGGGGTTTTTAAGTTAATACAGGGTCTTATAAACTTTTAATATTACAGAAAATGAGGAGTGATTGGTCATGTGTTGGTGGAAAGGAGAAAGTTAACCTTGTGAAGCGGACTTTTTTTTCAAAATCGACAAAAGGTTCTCTAAATAAGTACGGGTCCGAGAAAAACTCTGCGTTTCATAATATTAGGGTAGACGAGGTACTCATGAGAGGAATCAAGTAAAGATAAAATGATAATGCAGAATTATGTTCACATGCATTAAATCAAGGAGGATGATCTCTAATTCAGTATGCAACTGTAACTAAAGCCATACATATAGACAATAACCAATGCAAAATTATATAGTAACTTTTTACAAAATCTACTTCTCATACATGTCATAATAACTGTAGATTTAAAACTAGACATCATGCGTAATATAGACCATTGCATATCAGCAAATGGGCCATCGCACTTCAGCTTGACCATCGCACTTCAGTGTCCCCATAGCACCTCCCAGTCCTGCATATATACATCCACTTCATTTGAACTTCGGTGGATAGGTGTCTCATTGGCAATCATACCACTTCTCCTTATTTTTATATTGTATATATATATATGTTAAATACCCATACCAGTATTTGGACCATACATGTATGGTAATGACCATATACGTATATACTCGTATGGTCTGGGTATTTAAATTGATGAACGTTACATTAGCTATGACCTTCAAGGTGTCATAAATTAACAGTTACTAAAATAAAATTGTGACTCATCTAATCAAATGGTAACCATTGTTAGATGTTTAATGAAATAAAGTAAACTTTACTCACAAGTTAATTATTATTTACATTTTTACATGGTCATTACCGATTTTTCATTATGAAAAACAATATGTAGACTTCGACTTTGGAATATAATTTCAACAACAATATCTAAATGAACCGTTAAACAAGTCAAGAATTCAACTACTTAACTCCCAGGCACTTGGGCATTGCACCCTTTTTTTTCCTTTATTTTGGTGTTTTAATTTGTTTTTAATAAATTAAAATGTTCTTGAATATTTCAAATCATTTCTAATTATTTAATGTGTTTATGCTCCTATTCATACGATTGTTATTAGTTCATATAAATACATGCTGTCCCGGCCTTTATTTGTATATATGTGGAAAATAAGAATAGAGGGACAGCACATGAAAACTGTTGTTGTTGTACGATCTTATGAATAGGAGAAAGAACACTTCAATTATGTAAAAATAAGTAGAAATTAGAAGAATAAAACAAAATAAAACAATTTAAACACCGGAGTAAGAAGAAAGAAGTCTCTTCCTCAAACGCTGATGGTATCACTAATGGTCGAAAAAGTCGACACGATAAATTAAGGTGATTTAAATTGACTCTAGCGAAAGATAACAGATACACCAAGATTCAGACAACATGTCATGGGTAAAGGATTTCAGTAACTTAAGCTGATTTTGCTTCGGAGAACGAGCTGTATGTTCCTGCCAAGGAAGTTGGAATTTATTCGAAAAATACTTTGTGGTCTAAATACTTATATGGTCCGATCCTTTATTAACCAAACAAGTGTAAACTACAATGTATAAACCCATATGGTCCGACCATTCGCATATGGTCGGACCATATGGGTATATAGTATACACTCGTTTGGTTAATAAAGGTTCGGACCATATAACCATTGGCGTATGGTCGGATCATATGAGTATACGTATATGGTCATGACCACACACGTATGGTACAAAGACTTGTATGGTCTGGGACATATACATGATGTATATATTCAATAGGATCATATTTTGAAGGGTGAGGGATCATGGTAAAAACCTCCTTTTTCACTTTCAAGCTTATGTCAAATTAGCTGCGGAACCGTAGCTCTTAGGTCCTTATGTTATTTTTTACTATTTGTGGACCCTAATAGCTACGGTTCTGCAGCTAATGTCACATAAAGAGCAGTGTTCCAGCTAGGATTTGAAAATAGAGGGGCGCGTTTTTAAAAAAGGGCACTTTAGCGCGTTCTCACTGAAAAAATTCAAATACTTAATATTACCACATAATGACATATTTTTAGCAAGCATGTAGCTAAGTTAAATACTCTATACTATTATATACCAGTTTAAAAATCATTTATTTAGAACATATAAGTTAAAATCAAACTGAGAGCACTAATAGTCATTACTATATTCATTTCTCTTTCAGAACTACAGATTTTTTCAAAGAAGAGTTCAAATGCAAATAAATATTAAACAACATTGACAAGTCTTCTGTTTTTCTTTTTGAAGAAGGTTGTCACACATTGATCAAGAATTTTTTCAAATTTAGTTTCATCACAGTTTAATTTTACAGTTAATATTTTTGTTAATGTCTGTGTTTTCAAGTTTGCCCTGTGACTTGTCTTTATCAATTTGACCTGAGAGAATATTCTCTCCACCTCTGCTGTACTGAGTGGTTGTATTATTGCAACACTGAATAGTTTTGCAACAAGAGGGTACATAGATAATAGGTTTTTATCCTTATGACAAGGTGAATGAAATAGCTCTAGCAGACTAGGTAAGGAAGGATCTGTAAGTTCTGCTGATGTCACAAGAGCTATAAATTCCTGCCATTGAATAAGGAGAGTTTCAGGGTCCATGTCAAATGTATTTGCCAGAGATTCTATCTCTGTAAAACCATACATTGTTTCAATGTTGTCTGTTCCTGTAAGGTCTAAAATGGCCAACTGATCGATTGTGTCAGCATCCATAAATCTAACTGTTATATTTTCAATTAATCCATTGAGAAAGCACCTTCTGACTTTAGTGTCGAAATCTACTGGGGGTGGGTCAGTAATGTTACATGTGCTTCTTAAATGTTCCTCTTTTTGAAGCCATGGGCCATTCTGGGTCTTTCTTGTTGTCAACAAATTGACAGTTTTCTCCACACAAGCATCTCCGTATATTTCATGTTGAGCGTATCTAATAAATAAATATCAATAAGTTTGTCAAAACGGATTTCAATAAGAAAATTGATACAAAAATCAGACTTTCGAGAGCTCCGTAATCATGCAATCGGCACAATAATAAATTAATTCAACTTTGAAAGTTTATTATCAATTCAACAAGCATCTCCGTATATTTCATGTTGAGCGTATCTAATAATATCAATATTAAAGTTAGTCAAAACGGATTTCAATTTAAGAAAAATGATATAAAAATCAGACTTTCGAGTGCTCCGTAATCGGCGGAATTTATAATAGAAGAACAATTGCGATATCTGATAGAAACCTTTCTTCTTCTCGATTTTTCATAAAAGTAAAGAATTAAATTATTTTTTTACCTTTGATGGTCATTATTCTTGAAAAAAGATGTAATAGACTGGCAAGTCTTTGCTTCTTTTCATTTTCGAGTCGGTCAATTTTTCATTTTTTCGTCGGCATTTTGCGTGTTGACGATTTACGATATACTATTGGAATGATTCTTTTTTAATGAACGTTATTTTATAAATAACAAATACGATAGAAATGAACATCGTTCACATTTATTTTATAAATTCTATATTGCATCGTCAGGTGTTAAAAAATCAATTCATTTAACTTGGATGTTTGGTGCTTCAGGGCAAAGGGATAAGACAGGGTCGTAAATTTCACCTGATTAAGTAATTGACTCTAATCAAATAGGTGATTATATACAGGTAACAAGTGTCAACAATTTTAATCTGTTGTCTTAATGAAGTGTGTGTATAAAGAACTCAACAAAATGGCGACAATATGAGGAAAAAAGATCGTTTTTTAAACTTTTTTCAAAAGGGCACAGAGGGGCGCATCAGAAGGGCAGAGGGGCGCTTAAAAAGGCAGAGGGGCGCAAAATTTCGGGGGCGGGGCGCGGCGCCCCTCCATTTCATGCTAGCTGGAACACTGAAGAGTTATCTTACCTTGTGCTTAATTACATCCCTCATTTTATTTTATTATTAATGGAACTTGTATAAATAACACAAAGATTGTAGTTCTGAAGTTAAAATGCAATTGAATTGATTAAGGATATACATTTGTACAGGACATACATGACATGTATATCCCTTAATTACTCTTCATAATCAATTTAAACTGTTTTTGAAAATATAAATTAGTAATTAATGTCCCCTAGTTACAATTATGGTGAGTTTTGACTACATTTATATAATAATAAATGCATATGTTTGAGTTTTGACTACATTTATATAATAATAAATGCAATTATTTTTAATGCGGTGACCCTGTAAATAGGGTGGATATTACAACTGTTACACTAAATTTACCTAAAACAGTCTTACCAATCCCCATTTGTTCAGTCATAATTTGTTATATATTTGCTGAACGTAGTGAAAACATGTATTCAAATCTTCTCGCCAGAATTACAACTTTATTATTGTATCAACACCTTATTGTTTGGAAAACAAGCTAAATTTGAAAAATTGTGATTGTGTAACAATTTTTTTCTCTAAGGGACTCTGCTTGCAAGGGAAGTGATACGAGTAATTCCTCACTTTTGAACAGATGTGTGTTGCAAATTTCCGTCCTCCTTCGTTGGAACACACGTGTCATTAAACACTAAGGAGAGATTGTTGCGAACAATTTCAGATTACTTAGATATTTGTTTTTGTGTTGTTGTAAAATGTGAAAGCAGAGACATATAATACACAATTACATTATATGTCTCTGGTACAAGTAACTCTAGTAAAATTAAAATTGAGAATGGAAATGGGGAATATGTCAAAGAGACACATGCCAAGAAATTGCCTCCGTTGAAATTTTGCAAACATCCCATAGAGCAAATTACATGGATGATTAATTTTGACCAGAGACATATATACACATGTGTATATATGTCTCTGTTTTGACCATTTGGTATATGGCTGTGTTTTAAGTGAGACGTACACGTGGGTCATAAATTAATTTATTGAATGAAATCAAATCTTTAACTTCTAATGGATGCCGTGGGAGGTCGACCGGAATTTTTAGCGAGGATTTCTTGGCATGCCTCATTTAACACATATTTCCTTGATATTTATGACCCACCCTCAATATGTCTTTATGTCTTTTCTGTATAACAACATACTTGTAATCAATCTCATTATAAATCTGGAAATTTTTAAAGTAATAATTTTTTGGTTCATTTCTTGCCATATATTTACACTACTGTAAGTGTTTACAAAGACTTGGATTCCATAAACTAAAGTCAGAGATACATGCACTTAGTCTATTTTTTTTTACATCTGGGAAGATCCTTTGGCGATTTTGAAGTTTTTTATTATAAAATTTTAATTTATTTATAAATAGCTATTTATACTTTCGTCCTGGAGGAAAATGACAGCTTAAGTAATATTGATAGACGGATGCCAAGTCATGACTTGAGACCTACATGACATGTAAGCACATAGGAGACGACGAATGCCAAGTGACGCCCCTAACACATTGTATGTGATCCTTGATACTACTGTGCTTTATGATTACCTCAAGACCTCTAACTTAAATTTGGAGATCCTCTTATATAATAGTTCCTTCAAGTGTTGCTCTTTAACCCTGGAACAGCTGGTGCCAAATTATACTCAACATAAACATGTACATGTATAATATACAACATGGGACCAAACGCTACAGTCTCTCAACTTGTCTTTAAGATGAAGAACCACAATTACTGACCATATAAAAACCAGAACCAGACAAATGACTAAACCTGACGCAAGTACTTTGACAAATTGATAAGGCTGTTGATAACAAAGGCTTGATAAAGTTTCACTTTTATCATATAATATAAGTTTGCCCTTTGGGAGTCAGTATCTCAGCTGGGAAAATTTTGCTCCAGGCCCTGTCGACGACACTTGGTATAGTGGGTAGCCAAGCCCCGTGGACATGGACACTCCGCCAATCAACTGGAACGCAGAGGGTTCCAAAAGGGGATGAAGCGATGCTTCATCCCGTAGCAGGGTGCTACGAAAAGGGGTTGAATTGACGGTGGAGAGATGAAAAGTAGATAATTACTTGGGGATAAGAAGAGAAATTAACCAGTGGTGAATTTCGTAATGGTCATTTATTTATAAAACACCACTGGGTTGCTGAGAACTGTTCCCACATTCAGTGAAATATTGAAGGTGGTAGATTGGGGTGGATGGTGGATGAAATTGAAAACTTATTCCTATTGAGTAAACGTCCTTTGTATTCAACAGCAAAATCAAAAGTGAGAAGCTGGCAGCCTGCAATTGTAATCTGAGAACCTAATCCTTGATATCAGACAGACCAAATTAGGCATGACCTTTGACCTTATAATGGAACAGACTGCCCCATCTCATGGAAGAAACCATCCCGTCTGAATAAACAACACTTATACTCTGCATAAGTTACAATTTATACTTTCGTCCTGGAGGAAAATGACAGCTTAAGTAATATTGATAGACGGATGCCAAGTGATGACTTGAGACCTACATGACATGTAAGCACATAGGAGACGACGAATGTCAAGTGACGCCCCTAACACATTGTATGTGATCCTGGATACTACTGTGCTTTATGATTACCTCAAGACCTCTAACTTAAATTTGGAGATCCTCTTATATAATAGTTCCTTCAAGTGTTGCTCTTTAACCCTGGAACAGCTGGTGCCAAATTATACTCAACATAAACATGTACATGTATATACAACATGGGACCAAACGCTACAGTCTCTCAACTTGTCTTTAAGATGAAGAACCACAATTACTGACCATATAAAAACCAGAACCAGACAAATGACTAAACCTGACGTAAGTACTTTGACAAATTGATAAGGCTGTTGATAACAAAGGCTTGATAAAGTTTCACTTTTATTATATAATATAAGTTTGCCCTTTGGGAGTCAGTATCTCAGCTGGGAAAATTTTGCTCCAGGCCCTGTCGACGACACTTGGTATAGTGGGTAGCCAAGCCCCGTAGACATGGACACTCCGCCAATCAACTGGAACGCAGAGGGTTCCAAAAGGGGATGAAACGATGCTTCATCTCGTAGCAGGGTGCTACGAAAAGGGGTTGAATTGACGGTGGAGAGATGAAAAGTAGATAATTACTTGGGGATAAGAAGAGAAATTAACCAGTGGTGAATTTCGTAATGGTCATTTATTTATAAAACACCACTGGGTTGCTGAGAACTGTTCCCACATTCAGTGAAATATTGAAGGTGGTAGATTGGGGTGGATGGTGGGTGAAATTGAAAACTTATTCCTATTGAGTAAACGTCCTTTGTATTCAACAGCAAAATCAAAAGTGAGAAGCTGGCAGCCTGCAATTGTAATCTGAGAACCTAATCCTTGATATCAGACAGACCAAATTAGGCATGACCTTTGACCTTATAATGGAACAGACTGCCCCATCTCATGGAAGAAACCATCCCGTCTGAATAAACAACACTTATACTCTGCATAAGTTACAATTTATACTTTCGTCCTGGAGGAAAATGACAGCTTAAGTAATATTGATAGACGGATGCCAAGTGATGACTTGAGACCTACATGACATGTAAGCACATAGGAGACGACGAATGCCAAGTGACGCCCCTAACACATTGTATGTGATCCTGGATACTACTGTGCTTTATGATTACCTCAAGACCTCTAACTTAAATTTGGAGATCCTCTTATATAATAGTTCCTTCAAGTGTTGCTCTTTAACCCTGGAACAGCTGGTGCCAAATTATACTCAACATAAACATGTACATGTATATACAACATGGGACCAAACGCTACAGTCTCTCAACTTGTCTTTAAGATGAAGAACCACAATTACTGACCATATAAAAACCAGAACCAGACAAATGACTAAACCTGACGCAAGTACTTTGACAAATTGATAAGGCTGTTGATAACAAAGGCTTGATAAAGTTTCACTTTTATTATATAATATAAGTTTGCCCTTTGGGAGTCAGTATCTCAGCTGGGAAAATTTTGCTCCAGGCCCTGTCGACGACACTTGGTATAGTGGGTAGCCAAGCCCCGTGGACATGGACACTCCGCCAATCAACTGGAACGCAGAGGGTTCCAAAAGGGGATGAAGCGATGCTTCATCTCGTAGCAGGGTGCTACGAAAAGGGGTTGAATTGACGGTGGAGAGATGAAAAGTAGATAATTACTTGGGGATAAGAAGAGAAATTAACCAGTGGTGAATTTCGTAATGGTCATTTATTTATAAAACACCACTGGGTTGCTGAGAACTGTTCCCACATTCAGTGAAATATTGAAGGTGGTAGATTGGGGTGGATGGTGGGTGAAATTGAAAACTTATTCCTATTGAGTAAACGTCCTTTGTATTCAACAGCAAAATCAAAAGTGAGAAGCTGGCAGCCTGCAATTGTAATCTGAGAACCTAATCCTTGATATCAGACAGACCAAATTAGGCATGACCTTTGACCTTATAATGGAACAGACTGCCCCATCTCATGGAAGAAACCATCCCGTCTGAATAAACAACACTTATACTCTGCATAAGTTACAATTTATACTTTCGTCCTGGAGGAAAATGACAGCTTAAGTAATATTGATAGACGGATGCCAAGTGATGACTTGAGACCTACATGACATGTAAGCACATAGGAGACGACGAATGCCAAGTGACGCCCCTAACACATTGTATGTGATCCTGGATACTACTGTGCTTTATGATTACCTCAAGACCTCTAATTTAAATTTGGAGATCCTCTTATATAATAGTTCCTTCAAGTGTTGCTCTTTAACCCTGGAACAGCTGGTGCCAAATTATACTCAACATAAACATGTACATGTATATACAACATGGGACCAAACGCTACAGTCTCTCAACTTGTCTTTAAGATGAAGAACCACAATTACTGACCATATAAAAACCAGAACCAGACAAATGACTAAACCTGACGCAAGTACTTTGACAAATTGATAAGGCTGTTGATAACAAAGGCTTGATAAAGTTTCACTTTTATTATATAATATAAGTTTGCCCTTTGGGAGTCAGTATCTCAGCTGGGAAAATTTTGCTCCAGGCCCTGTCGACGACACTTGGTATAGTGGGTAGCCAAGCCCCGTGGACATGGACACTCCGCCAATCAACTGGAACGCAGAGGGTTCCAAAAGGGGATGAAGCGATGCTTCATCTCGTAGCAGGGTGCTACGAAAAGGGGTTGAATTGACGGTGGAGAGATGAAAAGTAGATAATTACTTGGGGATAAGAAGAGAAATTAACCAGTGGTGAATTTCGTAATGGTCATTTATTTATAAAACACCACTGGGTTGCTGAGAACTGTTCCCACATTCAGTGAAATATTGAAGGTGGTTGATTGGGGTGGATGGTGGGTGAAATTGAAAACTTATTCCTATTGAGTAAACGTCCTTTGTATTCAACAGCAAAATCAAAAGTGAGAAGCTGGCAGCCTGCAATTGTAATCCGAGAACCTAATCCTTGATATCAGACAGACCAAATTAGGCATGACCTTTGACCTTATAATGGAACAGACTGCCCCATCTCATGGAAGAAACCATCCCGCCTGAATAAACAACACTTATACTCTGCATAAGTTACAATTTATACTTTCGTCCTGGAGGAAAATGACAGCTTAAGTAATATTGATAGACGGATGCCAAGTCATGACTTGAGACCTACATGACATGTAAGCACATAGGAGACGACGAATGCCAAGTGACGCCCCTAACACATTGTATGTGATCCTTGATACTACTGTGCTTTATGATTACCTCAAGACCTCTAACTTAAATTTGGAGATCCTCTTATATAATAGTTCCTTCAAGTGTTGCTCTTTAACCCTGGAACAGCTGGTGCCAAATTATACTCAACATAAACATGTACATGTATATACAACATGGGACCAAACGCTACAGTCTCTCAACTTGTCTTTAGGATGAAGAACCACAATTACTGACCATATAAAAACCAGAACCAGACAAATGACTAAACCTGACGCAAGTACTTTGACAAATTGATAAGGCTGTTGATAACAAAGGCTTGATAAAGTTTCACTTTTATTATATAATATAAGTTTGCCCTTTGGGAGTCAGTATCTCAGCTGGGAAAATTTTGCTCCAGGCCCTGTCGACGACACTTGGTATAGTGGGTAGCCAAGCCCCGTGGACATGGACACTCCGCCAATCAACTGGAACGCAGAGGGTTCCAAAAGGGGATGAAACGATGCTTCATCTCGTAGCAGGGTGCTACGAAAAGGGGTTGAATTGACGGTGGAGAGATGAAAAGTAGTTAATTACTTGGGGATAAGAAGAGAAATTAACCAGTGGTGAATTTCGTAATGGTCATTTATTTATAAAACACCACTGGGTTGCTGAGAACTGTTCCCACATTCAGTGAAATATTGAAGGTGGTAGATTGGGGTGGATGGTGGGTGAAATTGAAAACTTATTCCTATTGAGTAAACGTCCTTTGTATTCAACAGCAAAATCAAAAGTGAGAAGCTGGCAGCCTGCAATTGTAATCCGAGAACCTAATCCTTGATATCAGACAGACCAAATTAGGCATGACCTTTGACCTTATAATGGAACAGACTGCCCCATCTCATGGAAGAAACCATCCCGTCTGAATAAACAACACTTATACTCTGCATAAGTTACAATTTATACTTTCGTCCTGGAGGAAAATGACAGCTTAAGTAATATTGATAGACGGATGCCAAGTCATGACTTGAGACCTACATGACATGTAAGCACATAGGAGACGACGAATGCCAAGTGACGCCCCTAACACATTGTATGTGATCCTGGATACTACTGTGCTTTATGATTACCTCAAGACCTCTAACTTAAATTTGGAGATCCTCTTATATAATAGTTCCTTCAAGTGTTGCTCTTTAACCCTGGAACAGCTGGTGCCAAATTATACTCAACATAAACATGTACATGTATATACAACATGGGACCAAACGCTACAGTCTCTCAACTTGTCTTTAAGATGAAGAACCACAATTACTGACCATATAAAAACCAGAACCAGACAAATGACTAAACCTGGGGATAAGAAGAGAAATTAACCAGTGGTGAATTTCGTAATGGTCATTTATTTATAAAACACCACTGGGTTGCTGAGAACTGTTCCCACATTCAGTGAAATATTGAAGGTGGTAGATTGGGGTGGATGGTGGGTGAAATTGAAAACTTATTCCTATTGAGTAAACGTCCTTTGTATTCAACAGCAAAATCAAAAGTGAGAAGCTGGCAGCCTGCAATTGTAATCCGAGAACCTAATCCTTGATATCAGACAGACCAAATTAGGCATGACCTTTGACCTTATAATGGAACAGACTGCCCCATCTCATGGAAGAAACCATCCCGTCTGAATAAACAACACTTATACTCTGCATAAGTTACAATTTATACTTTCGTCCTGGAGGAAAATGACAGCTTAAGTAATATTGATAGACGGATGCCAAGTCATGACTTGAGACCTACATGACATGTAAGCACATAGGAGACAACGAATGCCAAGTGACGCCCCTAACACATTGTATGTGATCCTTGATACTACTGTGCTTTATGATTACCTCAAGACCTCTAACTTAAATTTGGAGATCCTCTTATATAATAGTTCCTTCAAGTGTTGCTCTTTAACCCTGGAACAGCTGGTGCCAAATTATACTCAACATAAACATGTACATGTATATACAACATGGGACCAAACGCTACAGTCTCTCAACTTGTCTTTAAGATGAAGAACCACAATTACTGACCATATAAAAACCAGAACCAGACAAATGACTAAACCTGACGCAAGTACTTTGACAAATTGATAAGGCTGTTGATAACAAAGGCTTGATAAAGTTTCACTTTTATTATATAATATAAGTTTGCCCTTTGGGAGTCAGTATCTCAGCTGGGAAAATTTTGCTCCAGGCCCTTTCGACGACACTTGGTATAGTGGGTAGCCAAGCCCCGTGGACATGGACACTCCGCCAATCAACTGGAACGCAGAGGGTTCCAAAAGGGGATGAAGCGATGCTTCATCTCGTAGCAGGGTGCTACGAAAAGGGGTTGAATTGACGGTGGAGAGATGAAAAGTAGATAATTACTTGGGGATAAGAAGAGAAATTAACCAGTGGTGAATTTCGTAATGGTCATTTATTTATAAAACACCACTGGGTTGCTGAGAACTGTCCACACATTCAGTGAAATATTGAAGGTGGTAGATTGGGGTGGATGGTGGGTGAAATTGAAAACTTATTCCTATTGAGTAAACGTCCTTTGTATTCAACAGCAAAATCAAAAGTGAGAAGCTGGCAGCCTGCAATTGTAATCCGAGAACCTAATCCTTGATATCAGACAGACCAAATTAGGCATGACCTTTGACCTTATAATGGAACAGACTGCCCCATCTCATGGAAGAAACCATCCCGTCTGAATAAACAACACTTATACTCTGCATAAGTTACAATTTATACTTTCGTCCTGGAGGAAAATGACAGCTTAAGTAATATTGATAGACGGATGCCAAGTGATGACTTGAGACCTACATGACATGTAAGCACATAGGAGACGACGAATGCCAAGTGACGCCCCTAACACATTGTATGTGATCCTGGATACTACTGTGCTTTATGATTACCTCAAGACCTCTAACTTAAATTTGGAGATCCTCTTATATAATAGTTCCTTCAAGTGTTGCTCTTTAACCCTGGAACAGCTGGTGCCAAATTATACTCAACATAAACATGTACATGTATATACAACATGGGACCAAACGCTACAGTCTCTCAACTTGTCTTTAAGATGAAGAACCACAATTACTGACCATATAAAAACCAGAACCAGACAAATGACTAAACCTGACGCAAGTACTTTGACAAATTGATAAGGCTGTTGATAACAAAGGCTTGATAAAGTTTCACTTTTATTATATAATATAAGTTTGCCCTTTGGGAGTCAGTATCTCAGCTGGGAAAATTTTGCTCCAGGCCCTGTCGACGACACTTGGTATAGTGGGTAGCCAAGCCCCGTGGACATGGACACTCCGCCAATCAACTGGAACGCAGAGGGTTCCAAAAGGGGATGAAGCGATGCTTCATCTCGTAGCAGGGTGCTACGAAAAGGGGTTGAATTGACGGTGGAGAGATGAAAAGTAGATAATTACTTGGGGATAAGAAGAGAAATTAACCAGTGGTGAATTTCGTAATGGTCATTTATTTATAAAACACCACTGGGTTGCTGAGAACTGTTCCCACATTCAGTGAAATATTGAAGGTGGTAGATTGGGGTGGATGGTGGGTGAAATTGAAAACTTATTCCTATTGAGTAAACGTCCTTTGTATTCAACAGCAAAATCAAAAGTGAGAAGCTGGCAGCCTGCAATTGTAATCCGAGAACCTAATCCTTGATATCAGACAGACCAAATTAGGCATGACCTTTGACCTTATAATGGAACAGACTGCCCCATCTCATGGAAGAAACCATCCCGTCTGAATAAACAACACTTATACTCTGCATAAGTTACAATTTATACTTTCGTCCTGGAGGAAAATGACAGCTTAAGTAATATTGATAGACGGATGCCAAGTGATGACTTGAGACCTACATGACATGTAAGCACATAGGAGACGACGAATGCCAAGTGACGCCCCTAACACATTGTATGTGATCCTGGATACTACTGTGCTTTATGATTACCTCAAGACCTCTAACTTAAATTTGGAGATCCTCTTATATAATAGTTCCTTCAAGTGTTGCTCTTTAACCCTGGAACAGCTGGTGCCAAATTATACTCAACATAAACATGTACATGTATATACAACATGGGACCAAACGCTACAGTCTCTCAACTTGTCTTTAAGATGAAGAACCACAATTACTGACCATATAAAAACCAGAACCAGACAAATGACTAAACCTGACGCAAGTACTTTGACAAATTGATAAGGCTGTTGATAACAAAGGCTTGATAAAGTTTCACTTTTATTATATAATATAAGTTTGCCCTTTGGGAGTCAGTATCTCAGCTGGGAAAATTTTGCTCCAGGCCCTGTCGACGACACTTGGTATAGTGGGTAGCCAAGCCCCGTGGACATGGACACTCCGCCAATCAACTGGAACGCAGAGGGTTCCAAAAGGGGATGAAGCGATGCTTCATCTCGTAGCAGGGTGCTACGAAAAGGGGTTGAATTGACGGTGGAGAGATGAAAAGGGGTTGAATTGACGGTGGAGAGATGAAAAGTAGATAATTACTTGGGGATAAGAAGAGAAATTAACCAGTGGTGAATTTCGTAATGGTCATTTATTTATAAAACACCACTGGGTTGCTGAGAACTGTTCCCACATTCAGTGAAATATTGAAGGTGGTAGATTGGGGTGGATGGTGGGTGAAATTGAAAACTTATTCCTATTGAGTAAACGTCCTTTGTATTCAACAGCAAAATCAAAAGTGAGAAGCTGGCAGCCTGCAATTGTAATCTGAGAACCTAATCCTTGATATCAGACAGACCAAATTAGGCATGACCTTTGACCTTATAATGGAACAGACTGCCCCATCTCATGGAAGAAACCATCCCGTCTGAATAAACAACACTTATACTCTGCATAAGTTACAATTTATACTTTCGTCCTGGAGGAAAATGACAGCTTAAGTAATATTGATAGACGGATGCCAAGTGATGACTTGAGACCTACATGACATGTAAGCACATAGGAGACAACGAATGCCAAGTGACGCCCCTAACACATTGTATGTGATCCTTGATACTACTGTGCTTTATGATTACCTCAAGACCTCTAACTTAAATTTGGAGATCCTCTTATATAATAGTTCCTTCAAGTGTTGCTCTTTAACCCTGGAACAGCTGGTGCCAAATTATACTCAACATAAACATGTACATGTATATACAACATGGGACCAAACGCTACAGTCTCTCAACTTGTCTTTAAGATGAAGAACCACAATTACTGACCATATAAAAACCAGAACCAGACAAATGACTAAACCTGACGCAAGTACTTTGACAAATTGATAAGGCTGTTGATAACAAAGGCTTGATAAAGTTTCACTTTTATTATATAATATAAGATTGCCCTTTAAGAGTCAGTATCTCAGCTGGGAAAATTTTGCTCCAGGCCCTGTCGACGACACTTGGTATAGTGGGTAGCCAAGCCCCGTGGACATGGACACTCCGCCAATCAACTGGAACGCAGAGGGATCCAAAAGGGGATGAAGCGATGCTTCATCTCGTAGCAGGGTGCTACGAAAAGGGGTTGAATTGACGGTGGAGAGATGAAAAGTAGTTAATTACTTGGGGATAAGAAGAGAAATTAACCAGTGGTGAATTTCGTAATGGTCATTTATTTATAAAACACCACTGGGTTGCTGAGAACTGTTCCCACATTCAGTGAAATATTGAAGGTGGTAGATTGGGGTGGATGGTGGGTGAAATTGAAAACTTATTCCTATTGAGTAAACGTCCTTTGTATTCAACAGCAAAATCAAAAGTGAGAAGCTGGCAGCCTGCAATTGTAATCTGAGAACCTAATCCTTGATATCAGACAGACCAAATTAGGCATGACCTTTGACCTTATAATGGAACAGACTGCCCCATCTCATGGAAGAAACCATCCCGTCTGAATAAACAACACTTATACTCTGCATAAGTTACAATTTATACTTTCGTCCTGGAGGAAAATGACAGCTTAAGTAATATTGATAGACGGATGCCAAGTGATGACTTGAGACCTACATGACATGTAAGCACATAGGAGACGACGAATGCCAAGTGACGCCCCTAACACATTGTATGTGATCCTGGATACTACTGTGCTTTATGATTACCTCAAGACCTCTAACTTAAATTTGGAGATCCTCTTATATAATAGTTCCTTCAAGTGTTGCTCTTTAACCCTGGAACAGCTGGTGCCAAATTATACTCAACATAAACATGTACATGTATATACAACATGGGACCAAACGCTACAGTCTCTCAACTTGTCTTTAAGATGAAGAACCACAATTACTGACCATATAAAAACCAGAACCA